AATACCCAAAAAAATCATAATACCTCTTTATAAAAGTTGGATAAGCTCAATTGCGTCCTCCCCCTAATAAATGTATCAGTTTACTCGTGATGTCCGTCTGTCCGTCCGGTGCAGTAGCTTCCGTCACACCATTGTCTCATTATTCTAATTTTATTACTTTATGTTGACATTTTATCTCGCCATTATTGAATTGTTTTTAGTAATGAAGTTAAAGAATACTTAATTTTGTAATACTTATAATGTAATTAAGGTTTTTATTTAACGTGTACCACGGTCATGTTAATAGTTACATTTTTATGGGATGTATCGGTAAACGAGCTGACGGATCATCTGGTAAGCAATCAGCGTCACCCATGGACACCCGAAACACCAGAGGCGTTACAAGTGCTTTACCGGCCTTTTGGGGATTAGGAATTTGAGGATTGTTAGGGATTAAGGGATTGGGGAGATTGGGGAAGGAAGGAGGAGGGAGTAATTGGGCCTCCGGTAACCTCACTCACACGACGAAGCACAACGCAAGTGTTGCTTCACGTTGGTTATCTGTGAGGTCGTGGTATCACTCCGGTCGAGCCGCCCCATTCGTACCGAAGCATGGTTCTCCCACACACAAATTATAACAACTTACCTATCAACATAAGTGGTATAAGTAAATATAAGTAACAATAATTTGGCGTCTCAGTGTCTAAATCAAAATAATATAAACACGGGTATGAATGTCGCTGTGTAGTTGTGTAGAACACAAGTAATTAGAAGTTGTCGGGTCGAGTCCCGGGTTTACAACTGTGGGTAGCGGTGTGAGGTAGGAGCGGGTAGCGATTTTAAATTATATTGTTATTTTTAAACTTGTTGCTTCTAGTTGCTGGAAGCTCTTGAATCTATCGAGAGGCACGCCAAGAGGGTCATCAATGACGATTTGCTTGTGGAGGCTCTGTTTCAGAGCCTCGAACACTGGCGTAAAGCCTTTCGGTCTTCTATCGGATACATTTCGGTGAGTGTGGGTGGGATATGCCGTAAGTTAGATAATGAAAAAATATTATTTAGACACGTATTTTTTATATTGTCGTATAAGAAAAGGATACTTGGATAAAACGAATCAAAGTTAGGAGTGGGAGGTAGCTACTTCATTTAAGAGTATCCTAAATCGTACTCAAAAATCAAAACTAAAAAGCAAAAAATAACTGTTATTAGTACTGGTTAATAAGTAGGTTACCCACCCACTGATAGGTAAGAAGTCGGTGCCATAAGTTCCATACAAAATTATTCATTAAAACCTTAATAGGTACCTAATTCACAATTTTCCGGACATTAAGTTAGTTATATCATTATGATATGAGCTTATGGCACCGACTTCTAACCTATCAGTGGGTGGGTAACCTACTTATTAACCAGTACTAATAATAGTTATTTTTTGCTTTTTAGTTTTGACTTTTTGTTTGTTATTAGTTTTTGGTTTTTTGAAGTCGGTTTTTTAAACGCAGTTTTTATTTTATTATTTTATCATTTTCAGTGTAAAACTACATATACCCGTTTTGTTACTTATAATGTACATAGGTGCAGAGTTCTAATCAATACAAATTACAAACAAAAAAAAACAATTAGCCGAACATAGTACCTCTTCCTTTTTTTGAAGTCGGTAAAAAACCCTTTCATACAATTGCGTTTGCGCCATCTAATGAGCGAAACAAAGTTGGCCCTCTTAGCCTCGCCTATGAACACGCGTAATACCAGAGTTACAAGTGTGTCTTTTGTGAATTTGGAGATCTTTATAACACATACATAACATAACATCACACCTTTTATCCCCGAAGGGGTAGGCAGAGGTGCACATAGAAATAACACCCACTTTTCACTATTTATGTTATGAGTCCCATGTAATAGGGGGTGAGCCTATTGCAGATCTTTATAAATTGGTATTAAAACATTTAAACAAACAAACATATACCTAAACCTGAGTTACTTTTTTTTATGGCATAAGCCGGTAAACGAGCAGACGGATCACCTGATGATAAGCAATCGGCGTCGCCCATGGACACCTGAAACACCAGAGGCGTTACAAGTGCGTTTCCGGCTTATGGGGATTAGGAGTTTGAGGATCGTTGGGGATTCAGGGATTGGGGAGATTGGGGAAGGGGAGGGTAATTGGGCCCCCGGTAACCTCACTCACACGACGAAACATAACGCAAACGTTGCTTCACGTCGGTTTTCTGTGAGGCCGTGGTATCACTCCGGTCGAGCCGGCCCATTCGTGCCGAAGCATGGCTCTCCCACACTTAAAGCTTAAGCTTTAACTTAGCACTTAAGCTTTACTGGGCTTTGCAACCACTCGACCATGAAGCAGTCAGTAGCCACTCTTTCTCACCAATATAAATCTTCAACAAACCGCTACAGCTCCTAACTTACGGCCGATATTTGGCGCAACCCAAGCCCCTTAATTCGGCAGCTCCTCCAATTATACCCCGATCCGATCACGTGTGAAGTAATTTTAATGAATTCAACACATCTTTTGATGTACTCCTATAGTTTTGGAATAGTTTCTCAATTTGTTTTAAGTTATGTCGACAGGTTTAAGAGGCTTTATGTTTATAGATTAATTGCACGGTTGGTGCGGTGGCTGGGCAACCGGCTGCCGTGCAACGTGTCGCGGGTTCGATTCCCGCACGGAACAATACTTTGTGTGATCTACAAATTGTTGTTTCGGGTCTGAGTGTCATTGTGTATGTGAACTTGTATGTTTGTAAACGCACCCACGACACTAATGTAGGGCAACGTTTTTTAAGGAAAAAAATTGTGTCGAATCCCTTGTGTTATGAGAGGTTATAAACATAGGGAATAGGTATCCATCCCCAAAGGGTCTACTCCGAATTAATAGTTAGAGTTTAGTTTTCTTCTCAGTTACTATAAAAAATATAGCTTTGATGTAAATGATTAAAAATAGGTACCGACATTGAGTTATTAAAAGAGATACTTTGTGGGTGCACTGGGACTTGAACTTGAGACTGATTCAACAAATTAGTTAACACTTCACTTAGTCCGAGAATCAAACCCGAGACTTCTTGCTCGGCAGTGTTACTTCCGACCACTGCGTCAATCGTCTAACAATATCTATTAACATAATAACATAACATCACGCCTTTTATCTCCGTAGGCAGTGCACATTACGGCACTTAATACCACTATACAATGTAACACCCAATTTTCACTATTTATGTTATGAGTCCCATGGACCTAATAGCCTATAGCTATATATCGGTACATAGGGTGAGCCTATTGCTATATAGGTACCGGGCACAATTCCAAAGACCGTACTACTTCTCATTTATTTTTTAAACCCAGTAAAACTTTGCCCGACCTGGGAATCGAACCTGAGACCGCTTGCTCGACAGTCTCACTTCCAACCTTTCCGTTAACCGTCTAACAATCTCTATTCCCTAACGAATTTCCAGACGAATACGTTTCCTAATCCATGTATTCATTAATTTGAGGCGCTGAAGCGATCGCCTAAATTTAATAGCGAGCTCACTCGGAGCTGAAAGATATTAGGGCTAAGGAACGACAAACCAGGTCAAATATTGATTGATTTTGTTTCGGGATAAAAAGTACGCCTTTTAACCCCCGAACTTCCCCTTCATAACTGATTAACAGTGAGTACTTATTACATGTGGCCACCAAAATGTCGTGATGGCCCGGAGGTTAAGACGCCCGCTTCTCATGCATGAGGGTGCGGGTTCGCAACCTACCAACGGCAAGTACCAATGTGACTTTTTCCGAGTTATATGCACTTTCTAAGATTATTCAGACACCACTGACAAACGGTGAAGGAAAACATCGTGTGGAAACCTGGGCTTATAATTTCTAATTATAAGTTTGTAATCGCCAACCCGCATTGAGCAAGCAATTGATTAATGCTTAAACCTTCTCCGTGTGAGAAGAGGCAGTGGGCATTTATAGGCTGTTGAAAATGATGAATGATAAATATTACATTGCATACATGAAGGTATCCCTGTCTACCTTCCTACCTCCAGGAATTTATAGCGTGAGGTACAGTGATCAGTATATCAATCTACTCCGATCTGTCAAATTCATTGATTGTATTTTCGACTTTACATCAATACATTAAAGTTGAAAATGTTTATTTATTTTTATACATATTACAAAGTAAGTATACATAATTCAGCTTACACATTATACTTTGGCGAATATGTTCCCTATGGGCTACAACATGAAGTTCTTCAAGAATGTAATGCCCCAAGTGTTGCAGGCGTGCATAGGCCACAGTAATCGCTTAGGTACCATCAGGTGGGCTTTTTTTTGCCACCGTCGTGGTAAAAAAAAACCACTACGTTGTCCATTCATCCATCCATTCCATCAAATTTACTTTTAATATTGGGTAGATCTAGAGTGACACAAACATAGGTACATTTTACAAATAGTGTGAAACAAGACAACAACAGCTTTCATAGAATCACTATACACCACTTACGCGTATCTATAATTAAAATGGTCACAAACAATAAAATATTTAACAATTTTTAAAATTGCATCACAGACAGACTGCTGAAGAGTTGTCCGAATTTTTTACTTAGACAAAGTATTTCAATCCCGTTGAACTCACTGTTGTTATAGAGAAATTTGAGAGATATGGATAGATAGGCTGACCTGCTACTTACAACTTTAACGTAACACATGCACACGTGTAACACCAAGCAATCTTGCATTAACCAAAAAGACTCCAAAAAGTATATTAAATGTATAAAAAGTTTAGACTGTATTCAAGATTTTACCAAAAAGTAATAACAATTTTTCAAGTAAACAAGCAAATAGGTTTTATTACACAAAACTCCATACATTTACAATCTATACTCAAAAGCTGACATTGATACCATCAATCAATTCATAATAAAATAACTTCAAAAAGTATAATAACTTACAGTTACCCTTGACCGATTATTTGTTAAGAATCAGCAAATTATCGCCAAAATACCTTCAAGAACTCTTCAAAAATGACGTCACGGAGGATTGAGGACGCTCATCAGGAGATCCTGAACAAGCTGCTTTCGGAGTCAGGGTTGGAATGCTTCAGGTCATTAGTGCAGTCTCCAGAATCACTCAGCATCTCCGAAGCTGCTGAAGAAGGTAGTAAGATAATCCAATCCTGTTATTATTTACTAGCGACCCGCCCCGGCTTCGCACGGGTGTAATGCTTGTGTAAATATACCTACTACAGAATGTCCTTATACCCAAAGTTCACAGCTTTTTTATCATTAGACAATTAATGTGGACAATACTGAAGTAAATTATTTTGGTCTTTCTCGTAGGGTTCAGCAAACGTTTGAAATGTAAGCGCACGGCTTACGCTAGAAACCTCTCAATTTATCAGTGTTTCTCTATTATATTATGCATGTATTATACCTAAATATAAAACTTCGTTAAGAACCACCCCATCTATTAAAAACCGCATCAAAATCCGTTGCGTAGTTTTAAAGATCTAAGCATACATAAGGACAGACAGCGGATAGCGACTTTTTTTTAAGGGGGGAATATCATCGAATGCCTGCTCCCGCCTGGGTGAGGCGGAAGGGAGTGTCAGACTCTTACTGACTAAAAACCACCCCGTTCCTTCTCCTGCACGTCGAGCCGGAGCCCCGGTTACCCGTTAGGTTCTCCGCGACAGCGGATAGCGACTTTGTTTTATACTATGTAGTGATGTATCACTTAAGAGATGCGAGTGTGAGTGTTTACAGTAGACATAGTTCCCTTTTTAGGGAGGGAAATCATCCAGTGACTTCTTCTACCTTCGGCTAGAAAAAGTCACTAAAACACCCTGTTCTTGTTTTAAGCCGGAGCCCCGGCAACCCGTTGGGATGTCTGCAGCTCCGAATAGTACCTACATAGTAGGCTGGTAGATTATTATGGTAATGAGTAGCATCCTATGGGGATACATCAAACTTTTATTTTATTTTTTTAATAACGTTGCCCCACACTAGGATTTTCTCCTGTGTCGTAGGTGAGTTTACAAACATAGAAGTTTACAAACACATGACACCCAGACCAGGAACAACAATTTGTGGATCACACAAAGAGTAGCTCCGTGCGGGAATTGAACCCGCTGTACGTTGCGCGGTAGCCGGTTTCCTAGCCACCGCGCCAACCGTGCAGTCAAAGCTGAACTCCGAGACTCCTTGATAGAAAGATCATAATAAAGAAGCAAAAGGCTATGCCAGATTCATGTCATTTAGCATTCTGTCAGTTCTGTCTACTCCAATAGGGATAAGCGCGACGGTATTATAAGACAGATGTCTTATTCGAACTGGGTGTTTACAGATCATGGGGAAGAAATATCCCCAATACCTATCGAGTCTGCGCCAGAGGAACAGCCTAAGGTGGTGGTGGAGGAAGAGGTTCCAGAGGTCCAACCAGAAATATTCCCCTCTGCCTCCCTGCGATTTCCACTGCCTGATAAAGTTAGGGCTCTTGAGAAGCATAATAGGTACAGTATGATTTGTTCACGAAGTAATATGGATTCTATTCCTCAATAGAATAGAAATATAGCATTATTATTTGTAAAAGCAGCTCTTCCACCAGTGACAGTTAGAGTATTAAAAGTATCACCAACTCATTACGTTATATGTTAAGAGTCCCATAACCCATCAGACAAATCCACGCCATCCTGATAACTAACTACATCAAAATTGAAAAATAATCAAAAATTACTTACGAAAAAATTTGTCTGACACCTTCATGGAAGACAAAATGCCACACGGTTCGCCACTTGTAACAGAAGTGGCCATAAATCTCATATTTCCAGAATCCACGTCCTCCCTGATGAACTAAAAACCAGCATAGACCCTCAAGCTATACCTAAAATTAACACGACACCACCACAGAAGTGTATCGATATACTAGGAGAACTCCTTGGCTGCAAGAGGTACAAGAACAGCCTGGCTGAGTTCTGGTTCCTCGATACCGTGGCTAACCTGTTGAGGAGGGCGCAGGAGGATGAGATGGATAGACGTGAGTGACCTATTAGATATTCAGGTGCTGTTCGAAGGGACACAGGTGATATGACCCTCAATACTCATACACGTTAAATAATAAAATCTATATTTGTATCGTAACTTTCGTGAGACATACTAAATAAATTATTATGTTTTCGACTTACCCACGTAATAATTTGACGAGAAACTCGACTAGTTTCAAGCCATGCTAGAGGCTCATATTTATGAGCAGCATTTTTGTCGTCGCGTCGCGGGTCGCGACATGCTGCTCATGAATATGAGCCTCTAGCATGGCTTGAAACTAGTCGAGTTCCTCGTCAAATTATAATAAAATCTAATCCTTACTAATATTATAAATCGGAAAGTGAGTTTGTTTGTTTGTTTGTTTGTTCCGTTTTCACGCCGTAACTATTAAATCGATTGCTTTGAATTTTTGCAGACGTTAAGTTAGAAGTCCGGATTAAATAATAGGGTACTTTTTAACCCGCCTTCCCCTGACATATTATATATATGGCGACAACGCGCGAGGACATGATCTGTGTCGCTTTATGTTGCCAGACATGTCGACCAAAGTCTGGCAACGTCGCGCTAATTCACCCAACGTTGCTGGCAACACGTGGCACAGTCACAGGCCATGTTTCCCCCTAGTCTTTTTTTTAAGGGGGGAAAATCATCGAAGGACTGCTTCCGCCTGGGTGAGACGGGAGGGAGTGTCAGACTCTTACTGACTAAAAACCACCCCGTTCCTTCTCCTGCACGTCGAGCCGGAGCCCCGGTAACCCGTTAGGTTCTCCGCGACTTCCCCCTAGTCTAATGTATCCTTGGCTTAAGTATCACTTTCAAAGGTTGATCATTCTAAACCTGGCTCTGTTTCATTGCAGCAACTCAAGCAATATTGATGATATGGTTCTGCGAATGGATGAGGGAGATGCAATACTTTGATGCTGCAGACAGGAAACGTATGATGAGGAGGTTTCAGGTAGTCTAATGTACTTTTAATAGATGGCCAGGTAATGGTCGTTTAGAAAAGGTTCGCCTTTTATTGACTTACTTCTAGGCAAAATAACAATAATTTTAATATTGAATACTTTTAAGAATTGTTTCGTTGAATTTCATTTCAATAACATATATCCCCGAATGGTTAGGCAGAGGTGCACATTATGGCACTTAATGCCACTGTACATACAATGTAACATCCACTTGTCACTATTTATGTTATGAGATTGAGTCCCATGGACTCTGAGATTTTTTTAATACCGCAGTATTACTTTGCCGGACCCGGCAATCGAATCGGTGACCCCTTGCCCGGCAGTAGCACTTGCGACCACTCGTCCAACGAGACAGTTGTTCATTTCAATAATGTTAAACAAATATCCAGTTATTTAGAATAGGAAGGTACAAATATTTGATCAATTGATTTGTATCTTGATGTTTGTCTACAAATCCTATGTAGGTAAGTATGAGGTACATAAAATGCAATGACTTATTTATAAACGTTGCCCTTCACACTAGGCTTTCTCCTGTGTCGTGCGTGCGTTTACAAACATACAAGTTCACACACATGTCACCCCGGAACAACGATTTGTGGATCACACAAAGAGTTGCTCCGTAGGGAAATGGAACCCGCCACACGTTGGATAACAGCCGGGTGCCCAGCCACCTCAACTGTGCAGTCACAACAGTGCACTTACATGTATAAAATAAATAAAATAAAAATAAAAAACCCTATATTTCTCTTAAGACAATATATATGTTACCGGCCAAACCCGATTTCAGGACAAACTAGTTTTGCCTAGGCCAAACTAGTTCTTCCTATACGCATTAGGATTAACTAGTATAGCCTAGTTCAAACTAATTTGGCCTAAGCCCGATAGGATAAACCAGTTTAGGCTAGGACAAACTAGTTGATCCTGATATAAATACGCACATTTTAGGATAAACTGGTATGGCGTCGTCATAGTATGATTATTGCGTTTATTAAAAAACAGGGTGACTGCCTCGTTAGCCAAGTGGTAGCAAATGCGACTGCCGGGCAAGGAGTCTCGGGTTCGATTCCCGGATCGGGCATAGTATTACTTACTAGGTTTTTAAAAACAAAATCTCAGTAGTAGCACGGAGTCTGGAATTATGCCCGGTATATAGCAATAGGCCTGTTACATGGGACTCGTAACATACCTAAATAGTTAAAAGTGGGTGTTACATTGTTCAGTGGCATAATGTGCACCTCTGCTTACCCCTTCGGGGATAAAAGGCGTAATGTTATGTGATAAATAAACAGTAGGTACCTATTGTCAGTTATAGTATGATTGTTTGTATTGCCAATTATTATCTACAACTTGTAGCAACGAATCATTATGATTTTAAATTAATAACATTTAAATAATTATTGCTTCTTTTAAAAAACACTTATTATTTGTTATAGTCTGTATTACCAATTAACCATAAGTTTTAACGACGAATCATTATAGTTTAATAAAAATGATTTTTTTACCAATTAAGGAGTATTTAATTTAATTTATCTATTTATTTTGACTTTCTAGATATATTAGAATGTTTAGACTAGGCCATACCAGTTTATCCTAGAGTGCGCCTATTTATATCAGGATCAACTAGTTTGTCCTAGCCTAAACTGGTTTATCCTATCGGGCTTAGGACAAATTAGTTTGAACTAGGCTATACTAGTTCATCCTAACGCGTATAGGAAGAACTAGTTTAGCCTAGGCAAAACTAGTTTTTCCTGAAATCGGGTTTGGCCGGTAACATATATACAAAATTTGTTTCTTAGTAAGTACCTATTTATTAACTAATTTGCTTGTTTCTTATTGTGTTAGGTAAATTGTTGTATTTAGTCAGCGAGAACCCTTTTGCAGGTAAAGGCCTCCTCCAAGTTTTGCCAATCGTCTCTTGACTTCGCAGTTTGTATCCAGTTTGATCCAGCTGTTTGTTTAATTTCGTCCTCCCATCTTTTGTGAGGTCTACCTCTTTTTCTTTTTCCTGCCGGGCCTTTTCAAGTAACAGTGCACTTATCATAATAAAATCTCCTCGCAGGAAAATATGTTGGCAGCAGCGAAGTTTCTATCACACACCGATCACATCCCCACACCTTATCATGCAGGGATTACTTACAAATCCCCAGAAGATGAAGTAAAGGAAGGACACACTGCTGCAAAACTTGATTCTAAACATAACGTCCACTTCGCTGGCAGTAACTTCGAATGTTCCTTGCGTGATCTCGTCAAGATTATCCACTATATCTTCGATCTGTGAGTTGATTTGCTGTAGGATTTTGAACCTTATGACGCTTTGTACTTTATTGACTTGTCGGTTGGGTATTTGCTATTTTTAGACACAAATATAAGACTATTTAGATAGATAGATACGTATTTGTACCTAAAAATAAGTAACACTTTTTAGACTTTTTTATTTAGTAAAATGCTATGATGCTACCATTTAGTAGGTAAACAATACAGAAGTCTCCAACAAGTCATTTATTCAATACTTTTATCGAAATGTTAAAAAGGATTATTTTCTACAAGTTTATTTAAATCATAATTCTCATTAATTATTTAGTAATAAGGAAAAAGGAAAATAAAATATTCAAGGAAAATCTTGTACGATCGTACCCATTACTTATTTATTTATTTATAATTGTGATGTTAACACGGCTTTACACCAATTAGAGAAATCAAAGAGAACCTCAGACCCACTTTCAATTTACCTATGAATCCAGTGCAGGCAATACTAATGCTAACTCGAATACAGAAAGGTTACTCAAATTTAAGTTTTTTTTTTATGGCAATAGAGTCTCCAAACGGCGTTGTCGACTATACTGCCAGTATCGAGAATTTTAAGTAGTAGGTACCAATTTAAATATCGTGCTAACTCTTTCATTTTACAGATAATTTGTACTTACAGAACAATATTTAAGCGCAATTTAAAATCGAGTAGCGTTTCATTATTTGTATATAACATTTTTAAACTTGCAGTTTCAGTACGGATTACCAATACAACTTAGTGCGTTCAGTATTCACATTTACCCCCGACTATGTCCAAATAGATGGACCCTATCAGATTCAGGTTCCAAAGAGATTGTACATACCCGTCAAGGTCAAAGCGAAAAAACCAGAAAAATCTCCCAAAAAGGACGCTAAGGTCGTCAAGGCAAAGAAGAAAGAGGATACAGAAGAATATTTGGCTCTAATGGAGGTGAATTGTAAAACTTTATGTTTTTAAAATAAAAAAGGAACTGTCATCATCGAGATGATTAATTCAATTTTATTACATCAATAAATTAATTTCACTGTTACCCTACAATATAAAAAACAAATGGGTAATGAATTACAAAACATATTAGTTTCATATATTTACAGTGGTCAGCAATACCTCGTATGTCGTGGAATTGCGCGTGTCACCAAATCGATACAGCCTAATAGCCTATTGGTGACCAAGGAGCTACGCCACGCAACCTTAGTTTATTTCAAACTTTTCAGTTAAAAGCAAGAGAAGAGAAGTTGTTGGAAGAACAAGAAGAACTTGACAAAGAGATGTGGCTCCTCAAAAGTTCCATCTTACCCCTTTCGTTCGCTGCTACTGACGAGTTCTTCAACACATACTGGCCACCACCTCCTCCTGCATCCGAACCTGACACTTCTCTTGATGCCGGCAAGAGTAAAGGGAAGGGTAAGGGTAAAAAGTGATTGAAGTGGGGTAAGCTTAAAATGGAGGGTAAATAGAGTGAAGTGATTATGATGATTTAAGTATTGTTATTTCATAAATGTAATTGAATATATTATTTGAATGTTCTCCTTTGTTTTGGTTTCAATATCTTTTTGTGGAAGCTTGCAATACCTTAGATAACTTAAATTGTGACTTTCTTAGCACGACGTAATTAATTGAATCAAATCAAACTGTCTGTGACGCTATCTGTATTGACACATATTTAGGGTAACTACCACATAGCACTGGGCCGTGACTTAAGGTCCACTAAATCATGATCTTAAAATCAGGCCAATTATAAATGACCGCTCGGACGATATGATGGCGGCAAGCCCTGCACGGGGTAAGCACCGCCGCCGCCGTAGCCTCGAGAATGTGATCGGCGACCCCTCGCGTCCGGCTGTGGTTCAGGTCATGGTGCAGAGTGTGGTTCAGGTCATGGTGCAGAGCGAAGGGCATTAGGATTACTAGGTTACCCTCTTCTTAATAAACATAAATTAAAGTAAGAATAACTTTACTCTATGACTTTCAGAATAATCAAATTCAGTATTAATAAACAAGGAGTAACGAAGGACTAAGTTGTTCGAAACTACACTTTGTAACGAGCGTTTAGCTTTACTGACAGACAGACAGACGGACAAATCAATTTTTGACGTTTATTACGTTTATTAGAAATAAATCCTTTGACTTTGACCTTTAACTTTCCAACGTTAGTCTGAGAGTAAAAGTTAATCCATGGTGCAAATGGAGTCTGACACGTCCTCCTGCTCTCCCGTAAAGAAAAGGTAAATTATAAATAGCAGAATAAAAATAAAAAAACGGTACATTTTAAGTTTTATACATCATATATTTTACATTACTGACAACTGGTATTCAATGTACAAGAATAATTGTCTTTATATCAGTTCTCACTATTAAACATATATTTATTATTATATCATATATTCGCTTTACATGAATTGTGCTTCATACATTTTGATATGAGCTAGGCGAAATACTTTCGATTTTAAATCACATTAATAATTACCCCAGCTGTGATAACTATTACCGTCGAAGGGTAAAAGTTAAAGTGTAAAATTGTAATATACTGAATTCAGGGTAAATCGCAAAGTAGGTACATTTTTTGTACTTATAATAAATTTTGAAAAAATCTAATTTTTCGTTTGATATTTTCCTTAGCATTGTTTTCCTTTTTTATCAAGTATTTCGCCAAACAGACTGACATGTCTTTTAATAGATAGTAACATACACTTAGAAACTTCTAACATATATTTACATAGATCCTTACATACTAAGTTATAACAAGATACGATTATATTTGGTTAAAAAACGAGTTATCATATGTTTTAGGTATATAGAGAAAACAGCAGTCAAGAAGTGTGTAATGTTTATGTACAAAGATTTTGAAAGACTAACGCGAATACTGATAGGTTACTCATTTTTAAGTTGTACTAAAATATCGTGCCATCTCTTTCATTTTACAAAGAAATTGTAGTGACAGAACTATACTTAAGCGCGACTTAATAGTAGCCTGTCTGTATTCGGGCGTAATTAATATAAAGAGTAACCATTTCCTTGTTCTTTCTTCTCCACACGAATCTATATCCACCCTGAAGTACATGGATAGTACGGTATCCAAAAAAAAAGTAGCGTCATACGCCCACGGATACTGTAGTATATAAAGCGACGAGTTGTGTTTAACTCCATCTATTTTAAAATACGGTATTGTTAGGTGACTTTTGACAGATAATTTATACAGCTGGTGAAAGCCAATTTCGGCGTCAATCAGTGTCATGCTCAGAAGTCGCTATAAAAATCACTTTGTATAAGTTTCTCAAAAATCACTTTAACAATCACTTTGCTTACTTGACTAACTAAATAAGTAATTTTGGAATTTCAAAATTTCTTATACCTCTTTATATTAATTAGCCTTTCACAAATTACAAGAATGATTGATTATGTAAGATTAAATGAAAATGTGCATATAAATGTAACGCTGTCTCTGTCACTCATTACTGTTTGACATGCTTGCGTCTCACTCTCTCTTTCAAAATGGAGACTTACTTAAAAATATTCAGTATTTCTTATTACAATTTTACATTATTATATTATTATTATTGACTAAGTATATAACACAAATAAATCACAATTTTGGAATCATTAACATTATTTTGACAACTACATTTGGGGTAAAATTGAAATACAATTATGTGTTGTAATAATTCTTTTTGGGGAATAAAAAATTAACAAATTGACGTTGAATATTGGACACAATTACAAAAAAGGCGTTTCTAAACGGATAACCGCCCATCAAGCACAAAATATCATGTCAACATAATAAAAAGGAACTAAAGTATAAATTTTTCTATTAAAATATTGCACTAAAATTATTATGTAGGTAATACGTCAAACTATCGTATATGTATCGCAGTATATAAAATCAAACTATACACTATAATCATAGCATCATATTTTTAAATGGTTTTATTACAAGTGGAGAGCTTTTGGGACTTTTTAGCGACCAAAACTAACCTTAATTATAATAGAACTAGCTTTTACCAGCGGCTTCGCTCAGGTCACAAAAGGATAAAAGTAGCCTATGTGACATATGTCACATAGGCTACTTTGTGATGGCGCTGTGTGTATTGGTATATACCAATACACACAGCACCATCTATACCAATTATTTTGTTTTCCCTCGGGAATATCAAAATTTTCCGGGATAAAAAGTAGCCTATTATTTAATCCGGACTTCTAACTTTACGTCTGCAAAAATTCAAAGCAATCGGTTTAGAAGTTACGGCGTGAACGCGGAACAAACAAACAAACAAACTCACTTTCCCATTTATAATAGTATATAAGGAAAGGATAAGGATGATACAAAAAATTTATGTTTACATTAAAACTTTCGTGAAATAAACTAAATTAAGTATTATTAATATATTTTCGGCTTACTCACGTAACTAATTGACGAGGAACGCGACTTATTGTCAAGCCATGGTAGAGGCTCATATCCATGAGCTGCATTCAGATTCCAGAGTACCAGACAGTCGCCGCGTCGCTTGTCGCGGAATCCCTAGCATGGCTTGAAACTAGTCGAGTTCTTCGTCTCACAGTTACGTGAGTAAGCCGAAAACATAATAATAACAAAAATTGTAGTTTTAAATTTCTGTGTGATGAACAATTTATATCTGTAAACGCACCCAAGACAAGAGACAATTCAGAAAAGTACCTTTATTTCATTTTCGTACAGTAATGCCCGAATACTGAAAAGCTACTAAATTTTAAATTGCGCTGAATATACCTAGTTCTGTCATTACATATTTTATGTTAAAGACAAATATTTTTTTAAGGGGCGAAAATTATGAATGACTTGTCCCGCCTGGGTGAGGCGGGAGGGAGTGTCAGACTCTTACTGACTAAAAACCACCCCGTTCCTTCTCCTGCACTTCGAGCCGGAGCCCCGGTTACCCGTTAGGTTCTCCGCGACAAAAGACAGAGATGGCACAATATTTAAAATTGAGTAGCCTTTTAATGTTCGGGCGTAAGTGATGATTGTCAGTTTTTTTCTTTTTATCATAACTGTTACTTCATTAGTGATGCAATATGGTATGTATATTACTACTACTGGCATTTTTTATGTAGCTTATATTTTATTACTATTTTAATTCAAATACTGTTAATTGTTAATGTTGTAAGGAAGAGACTAGCTATAGATTTGAATGGCAATTTTAGTTTTTTGTTATTTAGATGTATGGATTTCAATAGAAACATATAAGTAACGAATTAAACAACATTATGATCGGTCCAGCCGATTTAGAGTTATAAATTTGCAGACCAAGAGCTAAGCTAAGTTAATTTAGCTTAGTTCGCAAAGCCGACTCAGTTTTCCATACTTGTCACATAAATTAACTAAAATCGGGGGTTACTCACGTGAATATACTGAGAAAAGCTGTTTCGAACCACAGAGGGGTTCATCTCAGTATAGTCAAGTGAGTAACCCGCGATTTTAGTTAATTTAGTATGTCTCTGAACACAACTATAATAAACTGCGTCGGCTATGGGAACTAGGCTAAAGTAAAGCTAAGTTTTTGGTCTGTAACCGGCTTTACTGACACTGTTTTATTTATGAAAGAAATCGTAGACAATTAGCTAGTTGAGACAATTTCAATTTTTCATCTAACTAATCCACCATCTTGGTATATTAACAACAGAAAGAAACAATTTGACACATTCGTTTTTTTTAATAGATAACAAAATTGACTACTTGTAAATTGAGCGAACAAACATATTGGTTACATTTTTTAATTATTATTATTTAAAATGAACAATATAAGAAGTCTTTTGCCAATGATATGAAAATAATTAACAACAATTTTCATATGATAAATCATACATTATTTATATAATATTTTCGAATTTAGACCGAACTTTTTTTTACAAAATAACATCAACATATTTTGTTAAACTAATCTTTATAATAATGTCGGTTGTTTTAGTTATTTTTGTCAAGTTATTTATTAAAATTGGCTTTAATAATGCTACCGTTTGTCTGTCAATATTTATAAAATTTCAGCGATTTTATAAATGAAAGCTACTTAATACTTGCATGGAGATATTTTTGAAGTTATCATACACCGAGAATAACATCTTTATGCAATCTGTCGCTTCAAAATTGCACCGTATTTACTACACATATGCACCAAATTGAAAAAAGTAATATTCTCATTTCATATTTCGTATAAATCAAGACTTTCGTTAGACACACTAAATTAATTATTAAGTTTCCGGCTTACTCACGTAACTGATGACTCAGTAGCAGCGCACGCGCACAGTCGCTGTGTCGCGCGTCACGAAATGCTGCTCATGAATATGAGCCTCTAGCATGGCTTGAAACTAGTCGATTTCCTCGTCATACAGTTACGTGAGCAAGCCGAAAACATAATAATTAATGTCCTATAAATATTCAGAATAGTAATTTATTTATCAAACAAATTAACAAATCAGTCTAATCAATTTTGGAATTACAAATAATTGGCAAATAACTTTAATATAGTCTTGGAATGGAAAATAATTCGACAGGTTAAGCTTATGAGCAATAAGTATGAATATTTTACAGCATTTCTTTTATAAAGGATTAGTACAAGCGATTCATCATCAACAATATCGGCCTGAGAACTGAAAACATCCACTGTTATATAAATTCCTTCTATACAAAGAACTTGCCATAATCCCCGTACTTGGAAAACGAGTTAGAGATTGCAATAATTACTGAAATTAACTCTTATCATCTACATTACGTATTAAGAAAAATATGCTATGCTATGCTATCTCCAACCGAACCTGCCAAGCGTGGAGGTAATGGCAAACCTTCTTATGTACAGAAGACTTGAACTATTGATAAGGCATAAACTGTTTAAGAAGACTTGCATTAATAAACATGTTGAAATAGAACTTGTACTAACAAATACTTATATCACAATCTTGATATTTACCTACTTATATTAAAAAAGGAAGTATGCGTATTTATGAGACAAATTATTCAATATTATTAATAACTTATTTATTATCTGTGTAATTACATTTGTTATAGCATCGATACCATAGAAATAATTACGATTAATTGCATAGCATACCGTAACATCAAGCCTTTTATCCCCGAAGACACTTAATGCCACTGTACTATGTAACATCCACTTTTCACTATTTATGTTACGAGTCCCATGTAATAGGGGGTGAGCCTATTGCCAGATACCGGGCACAATTCCAGACTCCGAGCTGTCCTGAGGACATTTTTGCCCGACCCGGGAATCGAACTTGAGATACCTGGCCCGGCAGTCGCACTTCCGACCACTCGGCCAACGAGAGTCTTCGCAGAAGTATACAAATTAATTAAATATAACATCTACTTTTCATCTCTCAATTGATATTGAATTGATTGCATAGTGGTAAGAGATCGACTACGGTACTATGTATAGCTGGTTCATTTCCGTATAAAACAATAAACTATGTACATTAGAATACACAGTACACTCTAGTATTTAGTCGAGAGCATAGCGATTGATGTTTTTTCATGATATGATCTGATCCCCAGAAAAGGCTTGAAACTAATCGATCCCTCACATAGTTTATACAAAAACTTTATAATCCGCAAATTGTTGTTTCGGGTCTAGTGATGTGATGTGTATGTTAATATACCCTCGATACAGGACAAAATCCTAGTGTGGGGACAACGTTTGAAAAATACAGTATCGATACTATAAAAAACAATATTAAATTATTGTATTATAATAATTGAGAATTAAATTCATAATGATCATTAGACATTCATAATACAATAATACACATAATTATATGAATAAATGCCGTATATACAGTCTGATATAAATGCAGGGATAACTAGGATACATATAATATACAGGGTGGGTGAAATAGTCTGTTGCAAATCTTTATATGAATTTAGTCAACCGGGTGTTGTGTAAACTAAAGTGTTGCAGGTTCGATTCCCGCACGGAATAACTTTTTATGTGACTAACAAATCGTTGTTCGTATATTTGTAGGTATAATTCGTTTGAATCAGACTATTTCACCTATCTCTTATTGCAATTTTAAGGATAAGTAGAATCATATCAACTATAACATACCGCAGTCTACAGATCCACTTAAAATACTCTATTTTATAAATACAGTAAAATTATAATTATTCTTATAAAATTATAATTTTTCAGTATTTATTTCTTTCTTCGAATCTACTTATCCCAAAAAAAACACCATTGCTGGCAACACTAGCTTACGAACTACAGATAATATAAACACCGTGAATTGGCAACACATACATACATACATTAATAATTAACTAATGCACAATAATGCTAAAATAAAAAGCTCATAGAGATCTGCTGTCCCTATGGGGCAAGCGTGATGATACGAAATGCAAGAACTAACCTGAGATTCTTTTTGTGATGTGTTTTTTAAGAATTTTACTTATTTTTTTCTATTGGCAACATAGATGTTAAAATTTTTGTAGTCTGGCAATAATTTTTGGCACATTTTTACTTTTAATATAATTAGTATACATAAAATTATTGAATTTGAGCCAAATTATAATTAGATGAGATTTTAAAATTTTATAGAATGTTATATGGAAGAAAAGGAGGTCACTATCAGTCAAATATAGTACTGTCCCTTTCTCACACATTTTTTTAATACTGTTTAAATGAGATATCATGTACAATTTCATAGAAACGAAAAATATTTGTTTATTCTTTATCTTAGCGATAAAAATAAGTAAAATTCTCAATTTTAGATTATAATTTCACCATAATAATGTCAATGGCACATGAATGCATTTGTTGGTCGCGGCTTCGATTCCCAGGTTTGGAAAACGATGGCACGTATTACTGTTCAATCGTAAATTTATTTCACAGGTTCAAATCCCGGAAGAAGTTCATAAATCGATGGCACATCAAATGTGTCGTCACAATGAGAGTCAATGGCACACTAGACGCAGGTTCGATTATTGAAAAAATAGTCATGACACTTCACATGGTTTACCGTTTAGTTTGTGGTAGTTGGATCACATGTGGAGTGCGGGGGGCGCGGGTTCGAGTCCCGTGCGAGGCGCCTGCTACAGTAGCGCTCGCCGGCACTCGTCTCGATATGCGCCCAATGTGCCCCTGTTTCATGTTTGCCATCTGAAATTAGTTTTTATTAAAACTAATTAAAAACATGATAAAAATTCCTTTCAAATGATTCAATTACAAAACAATAAGTGATCACATACAACCTATGGAGTAGGAATAAGTTCCCTAAACCTATGAAGTTTCTTGCTCGTTCTTCTTCATAGGAATCTACACCTTGGAATGAGCAAATAGCTTCACTTTTAATTTTATGTTGACGTTCAAAAGCGCCTTTCTGGTCTAATTGAAATAAATGATTTCGACTTTGATTTTACAGCCGAAATTAAACGAATAATAATGAATCTATCTCTGAGGTCTTTTTTTTTAAGGGGGGAAAATCATCGAATAACGTCGTTTGTCAGTGGTGTCTGAATAATCTTAGAAAGTACATATAACTCGGAAAAAGTCACATTGGTACTTGCCGTTGGAAGGTTTCGAACCCGCACCCTCATGCATGAGAAGCGGGCGTCTTAAACCTCCGGGCCACCACGACATTATTGTGTCAAGGCCAATGTGACAAGCTTACAGATTCCTTATTGGACGATGAACGAGCCGTCAACACTAGCGACATCTAGTGACGTGAAAACTTTTTGAAACTTACCTAGCTTTCTGCAACTCGATCTGTCCCTCCAAAGTCTTGGCGAGGTATATAACGAACAGCTGAGCGAGTGCCACGGCGAGTGCGACGCTAGCGATGGTATACAGGTTGCGTTCCGCCCACGAGCGCACTATCTCTATACAACCACTCGTCCATACGCGTTTGCTGGCTTCCGCCACCTGGAAACGCGTAAAATAGAATAGAAGATGTTTAAAAATATCTCAAAATACAATATTTCATTCACCGCTGTACAACGGGGCAATGACCCTACTCTAAATAAAAAAGTATTTGCTATATAACATAACATACATAACAGGGATGTTAGGGAGCTCGGTAACCTATCGGATATCCGATATAAAACATATCTGTAGGTAACCGTAACCGCATCCGAAATAAGTTTCGGATACTATCGGATAGGGGTGTGACGTATAAATGAAACCATTTTATTAGCTATTTGTATTTTACTTTAGCAGATACATACATGCATATGTAACTTCACGCCTGTCTCCCATGGGGGCAGACAGAGACTAGGGAACCGCAATTACTACATACCTCTTTCGCTTTATCAACAGTGATGACTGTCAGTGATCTTTTCATGCATGCTCGTCGGTTAAGGGTACTTTTAATTTGGCCCTTCTTTAATATATCGCCAATATGGTCACAATATGTCCGTCTAGGGCGCCCTCTACCGATGGCCCCATTCATATCCGCTCTGTATACTTCTTTCGTTACTCTACTTTCATCCATCCTTTCTACATGTCCAAACCAGCGTAACATTCCTTTTTCAATCCTTGTCACTACATCATATTTTAATCTACACTTTTCTCTATTAACTCGTCGAATACCGGTTTTATAGACACAATTAAAGAACAATAGGTCGCGGTCACCGGTGACCGCTTGGTGTTTGACGGATTAACACTATTTTTCACTCGATCACTCAATTTTAGTCCACACATACTTCTCAGGGCTCTCATTTCCACCGCATTAATCCTGCTTTCATGCTTCTTCTGCCACACCCATGATTCACTACCGTAAATAAGCGTTGGTGTCAACTGTCAAAACACACTGCACTACAGCAAATCGAGCTTTGCTGGATATTATTTTACTCGACATTACAGAGAGATAATCCGAAATAATGTCATATTCGTATCCGTTACCGTATCCAGTTTAATAATCATTTCTATATCCGTATCCAATCCGTATCCGAAATATCATATCCATAACAACTCTGATACATAACATTTCTCGTCAAATAATTACGTGAGTGAGCCAAAAACCATAATGATCAATGTACAAATTGCTAAAAAAATTGTACCTATTATTATTTTTATGTTAAATTAACAATATTGGTAACACGACGTCGACGGGTCGTTTATCTTAGCAATACTGTTCTTAACTATGAACTGAGCCCCTCTATGAGCCCCAGACATGGCTTGAAACTAGTCAAGTTACGAGGTAAAACATTTATTTATTTATTTAAAAAACTTTATGCACACAAACAAGTACATGGGTAGACTTAATGCCGCAGGCATTTTCTACCAGTCTGACCCAAAACATGTATAAATCGTAAAGTAAAATTGAACTTACCGGATAATTCTGCACTCCATATCCGCACATAATGTTGACGAGACCCGAGGATATGTCAGTCGCATTGATGCAGCACGAGAATGGAACCCCACACCTTTCGACTGAAGGTGATGAACAGTTGAAGTATTCGTTCTTGGACCAGTCCATGTAGCCGTCCGAGGTCAGGCCACAGCAGTGGAACTGGAAAGGAATTTGATGATGGTGAGTCTCCTGTCGTGGTGGCCCGGAGGTTTAAGACGCCCGCTTCTCATGCATGAGAGTGCAGGTTCGAAACCTACCAACGGCAAGTACCAATGTGACTTTTTCCGAGTTACATGTACTTTCTAAGATTATCTAGACACCACTGACAAACGGTGAAGGAAAACATCGTGAGGAAACCTGGGCTTATAATTTCTAATTGTCAGTTTGAAATCGCCAACCCGCATTGAGCATTGTGTGGTGATTATTGCTCAAACCTTCTCCGTATGAGAAGAGGCTTTGCTCAGTAGTGGGCATTTATAGGCTGTTTATGTGAAGTCTCCTGTAACAGTGTCTTTAAAAAATTCTGTAAAAAAATTGGCAGTGGTTGGATAAGATGATTTTGTAATCATGAAACTGTCGAGTCGTTGGAGGCTGACTAAAGAATACTAAGCAGTAAGTACTGAATGTTACAATTTCTTAAATACCCCAGTAATTCCATTCATTTTAAGGACTTTGTAATTAATTGTGATTGATTTTTTACTGTCTGTTATCAAAAACGATTTAAATTATACAAAATATATTGCAAAACTGTAAAAATTTTAACCATACCTCCACCCAGTTTACTATAGTTAGAGGCCATTACAAACAGTCATAAGTCATTTTTATCAGATTTCTCTTAATTGATGATTGGTTACACTTATACACTCGCATAAGTGCGACATTATCACATTCCTTTGCCGTAACCGTTCGCACGTTTATAACAACCCAACAATAACAAATTACACACCAAATCTTCACCTCCATACATTATCACAAAAAAAAACAACTCACATCACTCTGTGCAAAGTCAATAAAGTTCTGCAGATCGGGGTCATCTCTATATGCGTGCACGACTCGCTCGGTGAAGCTCAGCTCGAGCAGGCCGTGCAGCGACCGAGGGAACACGAACCCACACACCGCGCCGCCCATCTCCACCAGGAACAGGATCAGCAGACATAGGGAGTACTGGAATGGAAATATGTATAAAATTAGTTCCTAAGTTAAAAAGATGTGATTTATTTATTTACTATCTTTCACCCACGGCTTCCCTCGCGTCACAAAAGTATAAAAAATAACCTATGTGACATATATCAATACACACAGCGCCATCTGTACCAATACTTTTGTTTTCTCTTGGGAATATCAATTTTTTCCGGGATAAAAAGTACCCTATTATTTAATCCGGACTTCTAACTTTACGTCTGCAAAAATTCAAAGCAATCGGTTTAGTAGTTACGGCGTGAAAACGGAACAAACAAACAAACTCACTTTCCGATTTATAATATTAACCCATTACTTCCCAAGCATCGAAAACATTGGAATTTTTTGATCAATTCTTTAAATTAAGTTCACAATACGTTAAGAAAATAGAAAATGACTAAAAAAAAATTATATATATACCTTCATCCCTGTTTCAGCCTGTCCTATAAATATGACAATGGGAGCATGTAATCAGAAATAATACAAGTTAACAATTATAAGAACATTAGCTTTATTTGAAAATTATATCCACAATCAGTCTTAAAAAAAATGTTATGAGCTTATTTTGTATGATAAGGTATGAAACAATCACTGCAAAGTGTTTTTTCACATTTGGCGCAGAAGGTTAGAGGTTTTTTTTACAGCCTTGTCCTTGACAACGCCTCTGTTTGTCCCTCTTTGTCATATAGTGACCAACATTGTCAAACCTGACAGGTTGTAAAAGAAGTTCTGAAGAACCGGGTGTCGGTTTACGGGACATTGCCTGTTCAACAAATGGAATATGTACATCTTCATCTCTACACCAATAAAGTTTACTTTGCGGCAAGTGATGATACGAAGAGAAAAACAAAATTCCTATGAAGACTTTTAACTCATTTATAGTTAGATTGAAGTTCAAATCATTTTTATAGTGTTTGGCGTAAGATACAGTTTCGTGCACAATATATTCTAGAATCCCGTCACACAACAAGTTTTCGAATATTTCTACCGCTGACTTTCCTTCCAACTGCGTAATCATATTTTCTAAACATTGTTTAGCAGTATTAGATTCCGGCTGTATTTCAGAATATACTGGTTCACACTTACGCCAAGTGACTGTCCTGCTTGTACGAGATGTGGTTTGAGTAGGATGATTTTCCGCGCCGCTATCGATCGTGCACGAAAATTCCACTTGACCAGCTACATCAGACACTGGCAAAACTCCCATATCGTCGTCAGGACCTTCTTCTATGTCAGTCATTTCATCTACCGCATCCGGCGGCAATATGGCAATTTCAATGTCATTCAACTCCTCATCACTAAAATCTTCAATATCTTGAAGATAGTCTACAATTTCGGACACCTTCAAAGCGTTTTTATACTTCTTTTGCACTGGATCCATGATCTATAAATAACAAAAAATAGAATATATTAATATATAGCCAGACGTATACTTATAATCATACAGACAGATATATTGTTTACAATTAGATACAGAATAAAACTAAAATATTTTTACTTACCAATAATTTCTCAACCTCGTAAATAATTCACTTTTTACTCTAGGTCGATAAATAATCACAATCGTTTCGAGGGACGAGATGTAACGTGTTCGGCGTAGACTAATAGACTAATGTAAATACAAGCAAGATTCGCAAGAAACAAACAATTGACTAGTTTGAACCTGTACTTAGCGTGACAGGATCGAACACGCTTACGCGGCAAATTGTACAGTCAGATTCCCGGTGTCATATTTATAGGACGGCTTATTTTAAATGTATATAACAAGTTCACAAATTATAATTTGGTTTTGTTTTTATTTGTTTTATATTTGATAGAGATCTAAGAATAAGTCTTGTATACTTTGAAGTAGGTAACATTTTTCTTTTACGGTATATAAAATTGGAACTCAATGCTCTCCTTCAGTCAGCAAAAATGATCAATTTCAAAAAATGACATTAAAATTACGTAAACTTTTTAACAGCAAAAAAAATTATATTTTATTAGAAAAATAGTTTAAAAATATGAATTTCATCAGAAATAATAAAAATATAAGACCCAATACATGAAAAAAAATTTTGAAAGTAGTGTCCTAAAAATATGACAGTGGGGAGGAATGGGTTAAGTAAGGATTTACACTTCTATATAACGTACGATGGCAGATTTAATGTCGGGTGGCACTCTCTAAGTATTTAAACATATTTAGAAACCTTTTAAACATGTTTGAAACATAACAATCTCTTTAACTCCACACAAGAGTGCTTAAAGTATCAAATTCACATAACATTGGTTTGATGAAAATGTAAACTATTGGAATAAACCATTCGATAGATGATATAACTTATTTCATTATATTTAGATATGACTGCACGATTGGTGTGGTGGCTGGGCAACCGGCTGCCGTGCAACGTGTCGCGGGTTCGATTCCCGCACGGAACAATACTTTGTGTGATCCACAAATTCTTGTTTCGGGTCTGGATGTGAACTGTGAACTTGTATGTTTGTAAACGCACCCACGACACAGGAGATAATCCTAGAGTGGGGAAAAGTTTTTTAAAAAAACAAAAACAAAAACACAAGATATTATATAAGACTAGTCCTCAACACGGAAGTAAAAAGTCGTCTTTGTGCACCTGGGTGAAATAATTCCCAGGTGAATTGAGGACACCAAAAAGTCTACTTTGTGCACCCAGCAGTGGCGTGCACAGGTTTTCGAGACAGGGTAGGCAACTAAATATCGTATGATTAAACCCCCCCCCCCCCCCCCCCGGTCATACAATCATGCTCACACAAGACAGGTACATGTACATAATACATTCTATATTCCGTGATAATACATTTTGAAAAGTGCGTTCAAGAATATTGTGATTTATTCTTTCGCCAAATTACATACAATGACATCTCGCGTATTTTTTAGTGAAGTACTTCATCAGCTAGGTATTGAATAAGCCAACAAAACTTACAAATAATGAAGGATCTATTATTTATTTTAATAATGAAGCATAAATTTGATGAACCAAATTTCATTATGGAATTGTTAAGTTTAATCAATCTGTTCAAAATCATATTACGAATTTAAGAGCGTAGGTACTAGGTACCTACATTATATCAGCAAACAAAACAATAACAAGCGCGGCCGGCTGTGGCCGACCCGAGTCTAGGTATGCGGTACATTTGTTATTATTACATTACATAATTATTAATAATAAATTAATATGTGAATCAGTACAACCCGAAGTCTAAGTTGATATTTTTAAGAATTATCAAACAATAAATAAGAAAATCATATAAAAGATCCATTATAGTACATATTTACATTACCTACCTTTTACTTGGGTCAATTCTCGTAACTCGAGTACACCTCTGCCTATGGTCATTAGATTACCTGAATCTAGTCCGATAAAGGACATTTTCTTGCGAAATCTTACTGTTTTTACTTTCAACAAACACATAAAATTACCTATTATTCACACAAACTTCACAATCGAATAATATAGTTACTTGTACTAGAAACTGATAAACAAATACACTATTTGAAAAACCTACACTTATATTTAACTACTACTACTACACATTTATGCAACTTTATGTTTAAAACTAATTCCTAATAATTTAAACGAAAACATAAACAAAGCGATCGCACATCACATGAAAACAATATGGCCGAAAACATTGGAAATGAATTGAAGTCATTACCAATAGTCAATTGAGTGTTTATTATATAAAAATGTTGCTTAAAAATTAAGGTAATGCAGCGTTTAATTAAAAAAAAACAAAGGTTAATTTAGTAAGTCAAATGAAATTGCATCATCGTCTTAAACCAATATTTCATACTAAAAAACATTCATTCATATAATTTGAAACGTTGTAAATGGCGCCATCTTGACGTTTCAATAACTTCCTTTTAATTTTTATAATAATAAAGTCAACTCCTCGTTTAAAATTGCTATAAACCGACAACGCGTAAAAATGTTAAGCTTTAGTTAAAACACTTGAAACATATTTGTTAAATACGCATTTATAAAAATACATTCGCATTATATCGAACGAGTTCAGAAGTTTCAACAAAAAATTCAATAGATGGCGCTGGTGTACTCCATTCATCAGTACTTTACGATATACAGATTTTATCAATTTAAAACCTTTTATGATTTATTTGTTTTTAAAAATACAATAACTTGTTGAAGTTTTATTGTTTTAAAATTCTTAATAAAATACAATCGTTTTCCAAGTGATGAACGAACGGTCCTCTAATTTTTTCGTTGCCAACATTTTGTCAATCAACAGGAATCGTGTAATATAATTATGAATGGTTATTCTGTCACGTGACTATGGTCGTGAACTTCACGCATGCGCGGTGCATACTTTTAGTACATTACTTTTGTGACGTCACAACTGGCAACCAAGATTTAAGGAATAGCAGCGCATGCGTGGTGCGTGCGGGGCGCATTCATCGCTTTACAAAGGCGCGTATTTATGTTAGCCGTTTTTTTACAAACTTTTATTATATTATTGAATCTTAATAAACGCGTTTGTACATTTTATGTATGTTATATATTCACGATATTTATAGGTAGGCAAAGCCTTTTCGCCTATATGGACTGCACGCCACTGGCACCCAGGTGATATCACCCAGGTGAACAAAGTGGAATAAATCATTACGAGAGGTGGATAGGAGGTGAATCTGTAGCATAATTTCGGTCAAAACTTACCATGTAAAACCTAAAATACGGTTCTATAGTCAGAATTTTAATTAGATTCCAGATTTGACAATAGCTACTGTCATTTTGTGAAATAATGATACCACATATAATAGTGTAGTGATGCACACAAAAATCGATAAACAATCAGTATGTGTGTTTTATAATAAATGTTACAGAAAGTGACAGGATAGTGAAAGCGATGACGGCGACAATTTATTAAATAACTTATTACCATCATACATATATCTGTTTCATTTGTCATGTTCCTTCATAATTACATTATTTTATTTATTTCACACACAATTATAAAAGAAAAGTCTCAGATCGTTAATTAATCGTCAAAACTAAATTATCGGTTCAGAAATATTTAACTAACTGATATACTTAGTTTACGAGAGTAAAATTATAAATGAGAAGAATCGATCCAGAAATATTTCATTTCCATATCGAATAATTTCGCAACGTCACTATTTAGTACTTGTCATAACGTTGCAACACTGAAATTGTCAAATCTGGAATCGAATTAAAATTCCGAGTATAGTTAAGAATTTAAACCGAGATTGGTTTAGTGGTCATAATTTTTTTTTTATGGGATGGGCCGTTAAACTAGCAGACGGATCACCTGATGGTAAACAATCGGCGTCGCCCATGGACACCTGGAACACCAGAGGCGTTACAAGTGCGTTACCGGCTTTTTGGGGATTAGGAGTTTGAGGATCGTTGGGGATTCAGAGATTGGGGAGATTGGGGAAGGGGAGGGTAATTGGGCCTCCGGTAACCTCACTCACACGACAAAATACAACGCAAGCGTTGCTTCACGTCGGTTTTCTGTGAGGCCGTGGTATCACTCCGGTCGAGCCGGCCCATTCATGCCGAAGCATGGCTCTCCCACACTTAGATATAAAATTCATATTCTACGCGGACGAAGTCGCAGGCAACAAGCTAGTATTGTATAAAAACTAAGTTAAATCTAGATTTTGAACTACCAAAAGACTGTTAAAAGGAAATCGACCAACTCGGTCCCCGTTACCCCTATGGCAACAAACATATTAAAATCCCGCTGCAAAATGCTGAAACCGATAATCCTTACTAATATTATCCTTACTAATATTATAAATCTGAAAGTAAGTTTGTTTGTTTGTTTGTTTGTTCCGCTTTCACTCCATAACTACTAAACCGATTACTATTGGGCTCGCTGCCATTGCAGCGGTAAGTCCCCTCTTTGAGGAGTGGCTTGAGAGACGCTACGGCGTCCTCACCTACCGCCTGACGCAGGTCCTCACCGGACATGGAAGTTTCGGGAGGTACCTGTGTCTGATGGGGCGGGAGGAAACGCCCGGGTGTCATCACTGCGAGGACCGCCCTGAGGACACGGTGGAACACACCGTAGCGGAATGCCCTGCGTGGGCTGAGCACCGCCGTGCCCTCAGGGAAGTGATCGGCGATGGCGACCTCTCGCGTCCGGGCCTAGTGCAGGCCATGATGCGGAGCGAGGGGGACTGGGATGCCGTCTCCTCCTTTTGCGAAGCAGTCATGCTAGCTAAGGAGGAGGCGGGACGCGTGAGGCAGCGAAGCGCTGCCTCCTCGCGACCCAGCCATCGCGAAGGACACACCGGGCGTCGGGGATCGCGGGACGATCTCCGGCCACCGTAAGCGCGGGCCTGCGGACGGCGAGCATGGGTGGCTCCCCGTCCGACCAGAAACAGACCCGAGCGTACGGCGCGTCGCGTTCCGCGCGCGCCTCAAAGAGCCATCAGACCACCACAGATGGGGCCCAATAGGGCCGATGCCGATTCGGAGTCGCGGAGAACCTAACGGGTAACCGGGGCTCCGGCTCGACGTGCAGGAGAAGGAACGGGGTGGTTTTTAGTCAGTAAGAGTCTGACACTCCCTTCCGCCTCACCCAGGCGGGAGCAGTCATTCGATGATTTTCCCCCCTTAAAAAAAAAAAAAAAAAAAAAACCGATTACTATGAATTTTTGCAGACGTAAAGTTAGAAGTCCGGATTAAATAATAGGGTACTTTTATCCCAGAAAAATTGTATATTCCCGAGGGAAAACAAAAGTATTGGTATAGATGGCGCTGTGTGTATTGGTATATGTCACATAGGCTACTTTTTATCCTTTTGTGATGCGAGCGAAGCCGCGGGTAAAAGCTAGTAACTACATACAAACAATAAGTAGATAACATAAGGAAAATACTTACAAACTTGAGTAAGCACGTGTTCTCTCGCAGTGCGCCCACGCAGCCGGCGAAGCTGACGATGAACACCACACCGCCGAGCAGAGCTATCAGGAGACTTATATTCAGCATCACATCGTATACTGTGTCCAACTGAAATATTTAATAATAAAAACATTAATTTCACTGGTAACAGTTTGGCGATTTTTGTATATTTAATAATAATGTATATATTTATGAGAATAAAAAAAAAAACGAAAAAGTTTATCAGTTTGTCCTACTCTTCCCATGTAAGTCGTAAGAGCTGACTAAGGGATGAAATTAATATAAACATAACATCACGATTTTTATCCCCGAAGAGTTAAACATGGGTGCTCATTACGGCACTTAATGCCACTGTATGTACAATGTAACACCCACTATGTATTGTATTTATTTATTTGTATTCACCCATTGTATTTATGTAATAGCGGGGGAGCCTATTGCCATATACCGGGCACAATTTCAGACTCCGGTGCCACACCTGAGATTGTTTTTAAATAAAAACCCAGTTATAATTTAAACAACCCGGAAATCGAACCCGAGACCCTTTGCCCGGCAGTCGCACTTGCGACCACTAATATCTCTGATTCAATCTGGACGATGGAGTTTTTGAAATAAACTTAGTACTAGATTTAAGTGTGGGAGAGCCATGCTTCAGCACGAATGGGCCGGCTCGACCTGACTGACCTCACAGAAAACCAACGTGAAACAACGCAACGATGAACTAGTAAATAAATAAACGGTTGCGCTGTGTTTTGTCATGTGAGTGAAGTTACCGGAGGCCCAAACTGAAAACCTCCTTCATTTTTTGAAGTCGATTAAAAATCAATCTAAATCGATCCAATCACTTATTAGTTTTGACCGTAAGGAACTACATACTTGACAGAGACCGATCACCAGCGCCTTCTGATGACCTAAACCTTTTAATCGGTTATAACAGGTCACAGATCTGCCTGCTCAGATTATGCCAAACTTCCTATGTAGAGATGCAGTCTAAAGGAGTCAAGCAATTTACATACATACATAACTTCACGCCTGTCTCCCATGTGGGTAGGCAGAGACTAGGGAACGCCAATTACTATGATTCCTACATACCTCTTTCGCTTCATTAACAGTCATTAATCTTTTCATGCATGCTCGTCGGTTAAGGGTACTTTTACTTTTAATTTGGCCCTTCTTTAACTCGTCGAGTACCGGTTTTATAGACACAATTAAAGAACAATAGGTCGCGGTCACCGGTGACCGCTTGGTGTTTGACAGTTTAATATATCGCCAATTTGGTCACTATATGTCCGTCTAGGGCGCCCTCTACCAACGGCCCCATTCATATCCGCTCTGTATACTTCTTTCGTTACTCTACTTTCATCCATCCTTTCTACATGTCCAAACCAGCGTAACATTCCCTTTTCAATCCTTGTCACTACATCATCTTTTAATCCACACCTTTATTTATTTATCATTCATGTAAGTACACCATACAGCAGACCATATATCTGGTTCTGTCTCGGTAATAGGTACAATAGTTTTACAAAGAAATAAAATAAAAGGTGAACCATTGCAAAAGAATAAACTTCGAAAGTTCATACGAACTCATAGTAAGTACCTACATAAACAAAACATCACGGCATGTAATTATTAAAGAGGTATTTCTCGTCGGGTGGCACGTGCGATGCGTATAGTGCCTACTTACACCAAGTATCCCATATACGAAAGTCAATGAACATTTTTGTGTCGTATGCGAGTAAAAAAACCTTGAGTGAAAAAACAATACATACCTACGGTTAATAATAATAATCTAATAACTGAAGCATGTCTGCATAAACATTGATAACGTTTTCCCGGAACACAAAAACCAGGCAATTCATCGCTAGGTACAATGGTACATATTATAAAACAAAGTCGCTATACGCCGTCTGTTTGTCCCTATGTATGCTTAGATCATTAAAACTACGCAACGGATTGATGCAGTTTTTTTAAGGAAGTTTTATACGTATAATAAATGCATATTGCACCCGTGCGAAGCCGGGGCAGGTCGCTAGTTAAATAATAATACTAAAATATACCATGATAAATTTTACCTGGCTTTAGTAATGCAAATAATTATTAACAATAATAATGCAAATAATTATTATAAGATCAACTTATGAAAAAAAAACTTCAACAACCAGGACAAAATAAAATGACTGCACAGTTGGCTGGCACAACTGGCTGCCACGCAACATGTCGCGGGTTCGATTCTCTTACGGAACAAATCTTTGTGTGATCCACAAATTGTTGTCTCGGGTCTGGTTACATGTATGTGAACTTGTATGTTTGTAAACGCACCCATGACGCAGGAGAAAATCCTAGTGTACTGAAACGTTACTTTTTAAAAAAGAATAGGAATTAGAGACTTTATTGCAAGGATTTTATATTTTCACGAGGTAAAAAGTAGTCTAATTCACCTCCATACAAAATACCTACAACGGTAAATAATTTTTGAAATCGGACTAGTTATAAGCTTATTCAATACAAACAAACGAAAAAACACAAATATAATATTACTATTGATAGATAGAGCGAAAGAAATAAAGACATCAGATAATATTGCTATCCTTTTTCACACCAAAACAATGAACAATAAGGCTTCAATAAAATATCATAGTCCAGCCCCTAATCTATGAAACTTGATCCTTTTGAAGGGGACCTCTTAGACTAACGATCCTATAATGAAGGGGCTTATCTTATGGATTTTTTTTCTATCCTGTAACTATTAAGGCGGCCACACACGCTAGGGTTTGCATGATGGTTATAATATTGCATGCAAAACCGACAAGCATAACCGAGTTTCATACCACATATACACGTTAGGTTTTGCATGCACCATCTTCCCACGAACTCTCAGTTGAGTGAGCTACGTAGTACGTGACGGTGTGTGTTTTTTTTTAAGGGGGGAAAATCATCGAATGGCTGCTCCCGCCTGGGTGAGGCGGAAGGGAGTGTCAGACTCTTACTGACTAAAAACCACCCCGTTCCTTCTCCTGCACGTCGAGCCGGAGCCCCGGTTACCCGTTAGGTTCTCCACGACTACGTGACGGTGTGTGTAGGACGCCAATACCAAAGTACTGAGGAAATAAAAAACTGAGAATTGTGGCAGGCAAGCTCGCTGGACGCCACACACGCTCGGTTATGCTCGCGCGCAAACATAACTGAGCGGCATAAAATAAAAATTTTGATATTTGCTCGGTTATGTACATACATGCACCGATAACTGTACAGTTTAATCACATACACGCTAGGGCTTGCCTGTCGGTTATGCATGCACGGCTAAAACCATCATGCAAACCCTAGCGTGGGCTCCCCTCTTTGAGGAGTGGCTTGAGAGACGCTACGGCGTCCTCACCTACCGCCTGACGTAGGTCCTCACCGGACATGGAAGTTTCGGGAGGTACCTGTGTCTGATGGGGCGGGAGGAAACGCCTGGGTGTTATCACTGCGAGGACCGCCCTGAGGACACGGTGGAACACACCGTAGCGGAATGCCCTGCGTGGGCTGAGCACCGCCGTGCCCTCAAGGAAGTGATCGGTGATGGCGACCTCTCGCGTCCGGGCCTAGTGCAGGCCATGATGCGGAGCGAGGGGGACTGGGATGCCGTCTCCTCCTTTTGCGAAGCAGTCATGCTAGCTAAGGAGGAGGCGGGACGCGTGAGGCAGCGAAGCGCTGCCTCCTCGCAACCCAGCCATCGCGAAGAACACACCGGGCGTCGGGGATCGCGGGACGATCTCCGGCCACAGTAAGCGCGGGCCTGCGGACGGCGAGCATGGGTGACTCCCCGTCCGACCAGAAACAGACCCGAGCGTACGGCGCGTCGCGTTCCGCGCGCGCCTCAAAGAGACATCAGACCACCACAGATGGGGCCCAATAGGGCCGATGCCGATTCGGAGTCGCGGAGAACCTAACGGGTAACCGGGGCTCCGGCTCGACGTGCAGGAGAAGGAACGGGGTGGTTTTTAGTCAGTAAGAGTCTGACACTCCCTTCCGCCTCACCCAGGCGGGAGCAGTCATTCGATGATTTCGCCCCCCTAAAAAAAAAAAAAGCGTGTGTGGCCGCCTTTATGGGCTGTTTAAAAAACACATCTAATGTCCGTCTTTAAATATTTTCTAATATTATACTTATACCACAGTGTTTACCTTACATGTCGCAATAGAGAGATCTTATAGTTTTGTGTCCGGATAAAGTTAGGAGGCTGAAGACTGATAACTATAGCTTTAATACAAAGACAATTGGGATGATGACAGACAGGGTATGAAAATTAAAAATATAATTAGTCCGTATGTTAGGTAATGAAAAAATATTAGACACGTATTTTTTTATTTTGTCGTATAATAAAACAATACTTAGATAAAACGAATCAAAGTTTAGGAGTGGGGGCTAAAACGTCATTTCTACGTATATAAAATATACATAGAAGTGACGTCACGCGACATTTCAAATCAATTTATCGTCGAAAGTATTCGTTTCTGCAAGGAAATAAAAAATACGTGTCTGATGATTTAAAATAATTTACCAGACGGACATAAAAATAAAAATTAGGCATCTACCCTATTTCTTTTGAGTACGCAGGCGAAATTACAGCTAGTAAGTAAATGAGCTGTAAGACATTATGCCAGATCACATCCAAGTCCTGCATTATGCATTCATGGGGAGGTCTAAATCCAGCAGCAGATGTCTTGTGGTTGATTAATACATAGATTAACTACTAAACTATACCTTTATCAGTCCTGTGGCCTGCCATTTATCAATGAATGCGTACAGCCCCACCGCTATCAGCAACCCTCCAAATAACTGTAATAAAAACAATATTTTATTTATTAACTACAATACATTTGTGGTATTATCTCCGAATCCTCCACAATCCTCAAAATCCCAATTCCCAGAAAGCCGGTAACGCACTTGTAACGCCTTCTTCGAGTGTCCATGGGCGGCGCCGATTGCTTACCATCAGGTGATCCGTCTGCTCGTTTACCGGCTTATGCTATATAAAAAAAGTATGTATTATTCGCACAGAGAAAGTAAGTTCCGCATTTGAAAAACGTAGATTTCTTCTCTATTTACTGGTTTGTGATTAGAATAATGAATGAACTATGTCTAAATAGTATCTACTTACAAAGCAATAGGTGTCTCATCTATTGAATTAACAGTTAACATAAACATGAAAGTGTTGTCAACACAGTTATACAACAACTTACATAGTTATCACCTTTTTTTATACCATGACAGTGTAAAAAAAAAGTACATGGATCATCTGAGATGAAGTATAAAAATAATCTTTACAATTTTGTAAAAGCTGATTTAAAGACTACACATTAGACAGAGTAGCAGTACTCTTTGATAAACTGATCCATTTATTTTAAACACTTTTCAGGCGAGTGTCCTAAGGACCAACTAAGGGACTACTCATTAGGCAGAGAAGGGGCAGCAGTAGTCTCTGATAATTCTGAACCTATTAAACTATGATTTCCAACCTGCATGTTAAGCTTGAATATTATAACACAAGGTGGGTTGTGTGTAGAGGAGACTGACATGGGTTCAATAACATTGATTATATAACATAACTATATTATGATGGTATGTTTGGTGCGTGGCTGGGCAATCGGCTACAGCCCAACATGTTGCGGGTCAACTCAACAACTGGGAGCAACTCCTTGTGTGATCCACAAATTATTGTTTCAGGTCCGTGTGCATAAAGATTAGGACATACCTTTATATATAGAGGACACTGACATGGGTTCTGAATGACATTGATTAGTTATATTTAGAAAGGTTTTTCTATGTTCGGTATTGAGGAAGTCTCCAAGGTCTAAGCTATGATACTTAGAAATGCAACACTTTAACTATAGGGTAGATACCATAACATCATTTATACATAACATACCTACTTATTTACTGCATATTGCAAAGCACTGTGGTCAAGGCTGAATGACCACATACCATTTGATATGAGATACAACACATATGTGCATATTAGTATTGATTATATGGTAGACTAGAGCTGCTAACAAAGACTGTGTGTTACCAAGTCTTCAACAATGTAAATATTATTCATATAACTATCAGCTTTCGTTCTACAATTCTTTTGAAAATATTTTCAGACAGTTAAAATAATATTAATACTTTATGTAGGCTAATCATAGTTAAATTTCTTGCAACACAATCATACCAATGTGAATACCAGATAACAAATAAAAATATTTTTCAGCATTATTTTCTTAAACACAGGGTGTTTAAGAAAATAATGCACAATATGCAGTCCCAAGTAGTTAAAATCAGGTTTTCCTGTTTTTAAATAAAAAATGGTTTATCTAACGTGGGGTTTATGCTATATTTTTGCTGTTCATTAGAATATAAGATTATGAGCACAATGCTTCCGTTTTCCCTATATTTGTTATACTAATTAAAAAAGATGTAATGATAACATTGCCTGCTGTTATAATTGGCAGGTAAGTTAGACAATATTATTGGAGTTGTACTGAAAAATTAACTAAGTAATAGATAACAACACAATTTAACACCTAAGGGTAAGCTGAAACTACAGGGCACCACGCTTCTATTATATTCATGCATCCAACCATTTTTTTTTCATATATTTTATGGTTAGATGTTTAGCCACTATCATGCAGCCTATTGATGCATGTCTGTCCGTTAGTAACCTATCCACTTTGGCTTTGAAAACATTCAGGTTATGATCCTTCAGAAAACACAGACTCTGGCAGAGAATTCCACTCCTTAGCAGTTCGCACAAGGAAGCTTGAAATGAAGTGTTTTGCAAAAATGAAAACACCAGATAAGAATTCTTTGCATCTGACCTTTTTCTACAATATCTCCGATGATGATGATGATGGCAGACCCTACCTGGGTTATGAGTAATAACTCAAATCTCTCTGGTCTTATTGGTAAATATAATCAATATTATATTTGTCAATATCTGATATTTCTCATAAATTAGTTCATTTACAGATTAGAGAGTTATTATTCTTAAGAATGTTAAATAAATAAAAAGATTTACCTATCAATTTTGCAACATTAATCTTTTAAAAAGAATAAGATAAAAGCCTTTTTGATATTATCAATTCAATTACCTTCACACATATTTTTCAAGAGGCACAAAAAGAATTTTCACGAAAAGAGTTTCCGCTTGAAAACTACCAGTCAGTATACCAATTTATAATAAGTTGGTAGTGTGAATAAATAAATATTTTACCTCATTTGTGTCAATAAAGCTGTGTCAGTATGACATCACAACTATCTTCAGAGAATTGAAGATGATGCATACTTAGGAAATAACTCGGACAATGTTTTTGTATATTAAAAACATAATAAGGATACTTTATGGCAGGTTTCATAGACTGTAGACAGCCACGAATTGCTGTATAAATTTAAAAATAGAATTTTATATATGTGAACCATCCACCAGACACATTTTAGTCAGTAACTTTTTAAGAAAGTCTTGGTAGTGGCTCTTACTTTGTGGTTTGATTGGTATGTCATTGATCCCTTTGTACATGAATCCTCGAACTTAAAAGCGATTGTTTGAATACTAGGTAACAAAACCCATCACAGGGAATGCAAAAAATATCGCAGTTTCGTTGAAATGTTCAACAATTGGCGTCATTTATCACATTATCGCCATCGAGGCCGGAACAATAGAGAACGGATGCGGCCGAGAAACAAAACGACACTGCATAGCAGATTCCCATGCCTACTGTATCATCGAAAACAATGATTCACACACTAACAATGATGAATGAAACATCAAAATTCCGACTCTCTAACATCGAAATTAACGAAAATCATCAACAAATATATATCCTTTATTGCTAAACTATAAATAAAACTATGAAAAACTCACCCAGAATATAAAATTCAACACAAAAATCATATATTTCACACATCCGCTCACATACGTGAAGTTAGGTCCACGGCGGCGATGCATTTTGACCGAATGATCCATTAAAAACTCACAATATATTAACAACAATATGCACTGTTTATTTTTGTTGTTAATATTAAATTATTGTTTAAAAATTAAACATTATTGGCGAATGAGTAATCAACATCCTCCGACGATTGCTCTTCTGTCAAATCTGAGCATAGACTGAAAACAACGATGGGCGATCGGACATTGACATTTAATACAGATTATAAAAAACCGTAACAATTTGTTCTTTTTACGATGAAAAAACCGAACATAAGAATATTGTTTTATCGTTAAGGTTTAACAATTATACAAAACTATTTAATAAAGCACTATTTTATTGTACTTCGTAATAGTTATAAATTACACTTATTTTCAGCCCTAGAACCTACGTTACGCCTACCTAGGCCTTAAATTACAATGAGCGAATACAAAAGTTTCAGGTCTATGTCCATATAATAGGTAGAGAACACGAACTTTATAGATTAGTAGAAGTATTTATATTTATTAAAATCCATCATCAATGGTCATGGTTAAATTTCCAGGTTCATATTCATAATCGATATAGCGATTCTTGATGAGATGCTTGTAGACAAGCGCTGACTTCCTAGCGACGCGTGTGCGAGCTGGATCTTGGTAGTCCACTTGGTATAAGCCGAGACACGGTCTACCGAAAAAAAGAGTATTATAATTAATTAAAATATTTTTTAACACCTTAGCAACTTCTTTGATTTTCGACTATGGAACTTACATATAACCTTCCAGCCATTCCATGTTATCCAACAGACTCCACACCATGTAGCCCTTGAGGTTGACTCCCGCATCCAGAGTATTTAGCATGCTCTCCCACGCAGCTCTGTAGTATGTGATTCTGTCATTATCAATCAGACTACTGTTACGGTATGTCGCCCACCCATTCTCTGTGATGTAGATCTTTGGATTGTTGTATTTCTCCTTCAAATGGGTTAAAGCGTGGTAGATGCTATTGGGGGCCATCTGTGGAAACAGGACCATTAATTATGATCATGATGTAACTTGAGAAGGATGATGGTGAAATGGTGATTTAAAATTAGAATCTACCAAATGAATTAATAAATTTTCGAAATTTAAGTAGAAGGTATAGCACTGAAATGGGTTTTTATTTGTTGACAAAACCACCAACAAAATTTTACAATGTTGTGTGTAGTAATCGCAGGATCACTACACACGACATTGTAAGATTGTATTTCTCTTCAATATTGCATAGCAATAGAGACAACACAAAAGATAATTTATTTTATCTGCAGTATCACTTGATGTCATGAACAAGATAAATATTTGAAAACGATAAGTATCCACTGATGATACTATTTCTGTAACTCAACGAATATTTTAAAATTCTTAAAGAAGTAACAAAAATGGCTTGAATAATTTTGTAAACCTGAAGTTATGAATTTTAGACTTCATCTAAGGTATGTATCAACTATATATAGGTTACACTTACACTTAGCCAAGGAGAAGCCGATTTAGGATTTTCCTCAGGCCAGTAGAAGCCAACGTTTACATCATCCAGCATAGATGGCACTGAGTAGACCTGCTTATGTTCTGTCGCCGAAACCTTTACAGTCGTATAATGATTGACACCAAAGAAATCTGCTGCTCCTTTAATAAAAGCTTTTTCTTCTTCATTGAAATCTGACAGGCGGGTGCGAGGAAATCCTTGTTGTGCGCTTTTTTCAGCTACTCTATCCAAAAGTTCCCTTGGAAGGCCACCTTCAGCCGAGAATATGGGATCGGCGTAAATCCCCCACTAGAAAAAATAGAAACTTAATTTTAACTTGTAGAATTTATGTTTACTAGAGTTAATTATCAATTTTGTTTTGTTATCTTAAACTATTCAGAAAACAAAGCATTGTATCATATGCATACTCACTCACCTGGGATTGCCTCATAAGCTCAGCAGCCATCAAATCTTCAGCAGAGTCAGTATCTGCTTCAAACCAGTTCACGCTGATAGTAATCCCACACTGACCTCCCTGGGTTGGCTTAAACTCAGTGTTATACAAATGATACGCTCTTGCGTGCGCTAAAACCAAATGCTTAGCACACAAGTAAACACCAACACCAAATGTATTTAGGAGAGGAGCTTTGTTCATATATTCAAATCCTTCAAAACAGATTTGACTAGGCTCGTTAAATGTAATGAACAATTTAACTCTGTCTCCGAAGTTTTCGAAGACCACCCTTGCGTAGTCTTCATACCATTCAGTAAACAAGGGGTTTATTAATCCACCCAAGTCTTGCAGTTTTTGGGGAAGATCCCAGTGGTAGAGAGTGACCATTGGAGTGATGTTGTACTTCACCATCTCATTGATAAGGTTGTTGTAGTAGGCGACGCCGGCAGGGTTTATCTCATTGGCCATTCCTGTAGGAAGGATACGAGCCCAGGAGATGGAGAACCTGTAGGCGTTCAGGCCTAACTCTCTCATCATCTCGACATCACGCTTGTAGTTGTGGTAGGAGTCAGCAGCGACGTCACCAGTGGTCAAATCTTGAATGACTGTGGGATTAGTATGCACTAACCTATCCCAAATGTTTTCACCCTTACCTAAAATGACATAAGACACACTGTACTGCAAAAGTATTCCAAGACGTTAAAAAATGGATTTTGTTTTAAACTTACCATCTTCATTCCAGGCGCCCTCGATCTGGTAGGCGGACGTAGCAGCACCAAAGAGGAAGTCATCAGGGAACCGACGCTGCTGCTTCACAGTCGAGCCGTGACAGGCTACCGCCAACAAGCTGCAAGAGTAGTGGATCAGTGACAATGGATACTCGTTTTACCTTATCGCTTATAGTAGTAAAGTAATCAGGTGCAGAGTGTGCAATTTTAGGATAGGTTTATTACATATAAAAAAATAATGCGAAATTCAATTAAGAGATAAATAATCAGCATTATTTCTCAAGTTACGAAAATAACACTCATTATGTTTTCGAAGGAAAAATGAATGCAAAACCCTGTTTAACAAGTTACATTATCAGGCCTTTAAAATTAAGGGTCAAGGCCAGTCACCGAACGCATATCCAGTTTCAAAACAAAAAGATAAACACAAATAATAATAAAAAATATAAGAAATTCACGTACCATAAGACCAATGACTTCATGTCGACTGGACCGTGTAAGCAGTTTACTGTCTTTATACTGGCATACGTCATCACAAGATGTGGTGGCTCAGTACATCTTCTTATCTCACATATGAAGCACTTCAGCTATCTAAGATGCGATGTATTTAGGTAAATCTGCAACGATAAAAATAATATCTGTTTTAGGGTTCATTGATTATCGATCGGCTTTGTGAAGGACAAGTACATTTGTACTTGAACCGGTCGCTGGTAGGGTTCGAATTTAGCAATGCTTAGGACATCATTAGATCAAATGATGCTGTCTAACATTATGGGATAAGCCGATCAACTAATGCTGACGGATCACCTGATGGTAAGCAATCGGCGTCGCCCATGGACACCTGGAACACCAGAGGCGTTACAAGTGCGTTACCGGCCTTTTGTGGATTAGTTTGAGGATTTTCGGGGATTGAGAGATTGGAAAGATTGGGGAAGGGGCTCCCTCTTGCCCAATTGGACCTCCAGTAACCTCACTCACACGACGAAACACAACGCAAGCGTTGCTTCACGTCGGTTTTCTGTGAGGCCATGGTATCACTTCGGTCGAGCCGGCCCATTTGTGCCGAAGCATGGGACTCCCACACATATGTAAGTAGCTAAAGCTTGAAACATTACCTGCGGAAATAAAATCGCATTTTTTATGCGAATGAAAAGGTACTAAGTTCAATAAATAAAATAAAATAAATATAAAAGCCTTTTATTTCTTGCTAAAAAAATAAAAAAAAATACATTTAAAACTAAAACTAAGTATCCGTTACAAAAAGTGTTTTAGTATTTGAGTTAGGAATGTATATATTTTTTTTCAGGAACCCCTATCTTGGAAGGTAAAGGCCTCCTTTAGAGATATCCAGTGATTTCTATCTTCTGCTACTCGCATCCAGTTTTTTCCTGTTATTTTTAAGATGTCGTCTGTCCAGCGTGGATTTGGTTTACCCTTTCTTCTTTGACCTGAAGGTCCTAACCATGATGTTGTTTTTCTGGTCCAGCGGTTGTCACTGAGTCTAGCTACATGTCCTGCCCATCGCCATTTTAATTTCTGTGTATAACTGAGGGCATCGATAACTTTAGTTTTCTGTTTTATGTCTATATGGCGGATTTTTTGGATTTTTCTAATTTTCAGAATACTTCTCTCCATACTTCTTTGAGTTGTTATAATCTTGTTTTATATTTTCTTTGTGAATTTCCATTTTTGACAGGCATAAGTTAGAGAGGGCAGTAGGCAGGTATTCATGACTTTGTTTTTCAGCTTCATGGTCATGTCGCTTTTCAAAAATCCAATAAAACAATTAAAATGTGTAACAGAACCCGTGGGTGACGGATTTTTTTGACAATATCCAAGACAATAACAAAAGATTAGATAATTTGACCTACCGACTTGCATATTATAAGTGGCATGAATATCTTTACTTAATATATACTTGAATAGGGAGATAAAATTTGCTAGTTCAGACGGTTTTTAACCGACTTCAATAAAAGGAGGAGGTTCTCAATTCGACCGTAATATTATGCTTTTTAATTTTTATTTTTATATTATCACTATGGGCATAGTAGCTTCAGAAAATACATTCATCTAGGTTCATCAAGTAGAGGTAAGTCATCCATGATTCATTTTAAAACAACTGCCTCGTTTGACCGTTCGACCATGGTCGAAAGTGCGACTGCCACGCAAGGTTCAATTCAGGTGAAGTGCCATTAGGATTTTTGGAGTTTTAATGATTAACGCAGTTTAAAAATTGAGGGAATATACTTATTATTAGATACATAGGTCCAAAGGTTGTCTGGAAGAAATCGCATTCTGCGATAAGACCGCCCATTGTGCACATTCTTTTATGTTTTTTTTTTTTATGTATGTTTTTATGGTGTACAATAAAGTGTAAAATAAATAAATAAATAAAATAGGTCTAATAGGTACCAAATGACTTTTGCTACAGAAATGGGATGACTCAGATAATGAAGTTCGGTCTTTGTTAAGGCAGATGTTCGCAGAGTTCGATAAACAATAAGCAATTCTTTAATGAATATAATTCCACAGGTAAAAAATTTGATGAGAAAAAAAATTGACATTTCATACAGATTAAAAAAACCGATAACATTTGTTCAAAATCGGTTATAAGAGCACACATCAAAAATTTTTGTTTTATACATTTTATTAATCAAGATCAAGGTACAAAATAATTTTCCTTATTTATTCAGAAAGGCTCACGCTGGAATATTTAAACGTCATTAAAAATAAGTCGCGCTTAAATATAATTCTGTCAGTACAAATTCTTTGTATAATGACAGAGATGGCAGGATATTTGAGTAACTACAACTTAAAATTGATTAGCCTTTTAGTATTTGGGCATCAGAGTATTTTTCTGAGGTACTCTTGAATAGTAATATTTTAGTTTCATCAATAAATTGCTTCGACTTTTGTTAAAATCTGTAGGTTAAAGTTAAAATAATCAAGACATTAGAATAAAGTTTTGATACTTTAATTACTTAACACTAAAATCCATCATCAATAGTCATGATCAAAGACTCAGGTTCATATTCGTAATCAATAAATCGATTCTTGATGAGGTGCTTGTAGACAAACGCTGACTTCCTAGCGGTGCGTGTGCGAGCTGGGTCTTGGTAGTCCACTTGGTATAGGCCGAAACATGCTCTGTGGAAAATGAATAAGGGATTTTAAATAGTAGCAGATATCAGAAGTAGATATTCTCCTCATTTCTCGATCTCTAGACTTTAGTTGACCTATTAGCGATCCCAAAGCTGACTTCCAAACAGCCTTCAAATGGAAGCCCTTATTCAGCAGTGGTAGTGTCCCAGCCCATGATTACGATTATACAAACTTAGAACCTAATATCTTGTCGCGGAGAACCTAACGGGTAACCACGGCTCCGGCTCGACGTGCAGGAGAAGGAACGGGGTGGTTTTTAGTCAGTAAGAGTCTGACACTCCCTCCGTCTGAGCAGTCATTCGATGATTTTCCCCCCTTAAAAAAAGACCCTAATATCTTTGAAAATTCAAACGGTTTATCAAGAGCCAAACGGCAGCCTTCTCTAAACTTTTAGTGATACAATATCTGCGATGCAAGTATAAAGTATAATGGCAGCTAAACCTTCTCTTACGATGATAACATAGCTAATGATAACGATTAAGAATGAAATGGAAACTTCAGAGATATTGTTTACAATGGTACTTACACGTAACCCTCCAGCCATTCCATGTTATCCAATAGACTCCACACCATGTACCCTTTGAGGTTGACTCCCGCATCCAAAGTATTTAGCATGCTCTCCCACGCAGCTCTGTAGTATGTGATTCTGTCATCATCAATTAAGCCACTGTCAGGGTAGGTGGCCCACCCATTCTCTGTGATGTAGATCGCTGGGTTGTGATATTTTTCCTTTAGATGGATTAAGGCGTGGTAGATGCTGTTAGGGGCCATCTGTGGAAGCAAGAGTTGATTGTTTAATTGCTGAACAAAGCCTTTATAAATCCCTAACTTTTTTAAATCAATTTCCATGTTTAGATAACTTACCTTCAGCCAAGGAGAAGCGGACTCAGGATAATCATCAGGCCAGAAGTACCAAGCATCTAAATCATTCATCATAGATGGCGCTGAGAGATAAGGTTTGTATTTAGTCGCTGACACCTTCACCGTCGTATAATGGTTTACTCCGAAGAAATCTGATGATCCCTTGACAAAAGCTTTCTCCTCTTCAGTGAACTCTGGCAGACGAGAGCGAGAGAATCCCTGTTGCGCACTTTTTTCTGCTACTCTTTCCGAAAATTCCTTTGGAAAACCACCGTCATCTGAGAATATGGGTTCAGCGTAGAGACCCCACTGAAAAGGATAAAAACTCGATATAAAAAATATTGTCTACTTAGGTTACTAGCACCTTGTATCCTTAAGATATTCACCTGAACTTGTCTCATAAGCTCAGCAGCCAACAAATCTTCTTCAGAGTCAGTATCTGCTTCAAACCAGTTCACACTAATCGTAATACCACACTGACCTCCCTGGATCGGCTTGAACTCATTATTATACAAATGGTAGGCTCTTGCGTGCGCCAAAACCAAATGCTTAGCACACAAGTAAACACCGATACCGGTGGTATTCAGGAGAGGAGCTTTGTTCATATCTTCAAGACCTTCAAAGCAGATCTCTCTCGGCTCGTTGAAGGTAATGAACATCTTGACCCTGTCTCCAAAGTTCTCGAAAACAATCCTCGCGTAGTCCTCAAACCAATCAGTGAACAAGGGATTCATAAATCCACCCAAGTCTTGCAGTTTTTGTGGAAGATCCCAGTGGTACAGAGTGACTATTGGAGTGATGTTGTACTTCACCATCTCATTGATAAGGTTGTTGTAGTAGGCGACGCCGGCAGGGTTTATCTCATTGGCCATGCCAGTAGGAAGGATCCGAGACCAGGAGAGGGAGAACCTGTATGCGTCCAGGCCTAACTCTCTCATCATCTCGACATCACGCTTGTAGTTGTGGTAGGAGTCAGCAGCGACGTCACCGTTGGTTAGGTCTTGGATGACTGTGGGGTTGGTGTGGACTAGCCTATCCCAGATACTTTCACCCTTACCTAAAACAACACCAAATTCCATAATTTATTATTTTATAGTAAAACAAGATAGAGAGCACTGTAAAAATTGAACACTTACCATCTTCATCCCATCCTCCCTCGATCTGGTAGGCGGCTGTAGCGGCCCCGAAGAGGAAGTCATCAGGGAACCGACGCTGCTGCCTCACGGTCGAACCGTGGCAGGCTACCGACAACAAACTGCAACAATAAACTCAATCAGCCACGATATTTGTGGAAGGTTTGTTTATTTACTATTATCCTCACACCGATAAATAGCAATTGATGTAACACACAGCGAATCCAGACCACATAAGACAAGAATATGTTTAAGCTCAAACTCCAAGCGGTTAAAGAATCCAAAGTATAAATTGCACGTACCACAAGACCAATACCTTCATATCGACTAGACCGTGTCAGCAGTATGCTGTTTTTATACTGTCATGCATCATTCAGGCCCCGGATGGTTGTACATCTTTTTATCTCACTTGCTAAGCACTTCAGCTATCTAAAATACGATGTATCAAAGCGAATCTCTGGAGATAACATGATGTGTGTTGGAGTTCCGTAATTCGGAAGCATATCTGGTATCCTAAATATTATGTTTTCGGCTTACTAGTGTAACTGTATCACAAGGAACTCGCGAAACCAGTAACAGCGTGACAGTCGCCGCGTCGTACATCGTGAACTTCTGCTGCTGAACGTGAGTCTCTAATATATAATTTGAAACTAGTCGAGTACCTCAAACGGCTACATAAGTAAGTCGAAAAACATAACAGTTAATTTAGTATATCCCCCGAAAGTATGTACTTTGGTATACATTATATATCCTCTAGTTAAGTTAATATAAAGAATAGAATAGCAGTTTGCAGTTGTCCATATAAAAATAAATTCAACAGAAGCTAACAAAGATAGAGGTTCAGTTTTAACATCAAGCTGATTGGAATACGAGGCAGAAGAGAGAAAGGACTAAAATGTTGACGATATTACATAAATGCCCAAGTAAACAGATTTCTTTTTATACCGGGGAAAATCACCCTATCACTCCTCCCGCCTTGGGTTAGGCAAGAGGGATTGTCAGACTCATACCGAGCTGACTATAAACCACCCCGGTCCTACTCCTGCCCTTCGAGCCGGAGCAGAGCGTTGGCAACTCGTTAGGCCTTCCGCGGCACCGTATCGGGCATCAGCCCTATTGGGTTCCATCTGTGGTGGTCTAGTGGCGCTATGAGGCACGTGCGGAACGCGACGTGCCCCGTACGCTCAGGTCTGGTTCTAGAAGGGCTACCCTTGCTAACAAAATGATCAAACAAACGATGAATTTAAATGTGTATGAATGACAAAAGACAATAGGAAGATAAAAGAAGAAGAGATAGAGGGACTGTATTTACACTGATATGAAATTAAGGGGAATAAAACAAAGCACGGAAGAATGGACTACACCATTGTTTTAATGAGGCTAAACCCAGAACGTGACACCACGACAAGATCTTGACCCACGAGAAATATACGAGAAAATGTAGGATTTATAATACAAACATAACTTTGTTGTATTTTTCTTCCGGGTCGTAACGGATCATTTTTATTACGCAATTTTTTTGTGAAAATCTGTACCTAGATCAAGATAGATTTTAACAATACTTTTATGGAGTTTCTATCAATAACCTAGGTATATCAATTCAGAAAGTCCGGTTATGTATTAATTCAACCATTAGATTACTCTTATCTATAGTTTAGTATTATAATTTACAATTCGTGCTGTAAATATAATGCAGCGTATTTTTTTATGGGATAAGTCTGTAAACGAGCAGACGGATCACCTAATGTGGTAAGCAATCGACGTCGCCCATGGACACCTGGAACACCAGAGGCGTTACAAGTGCATTACCGGCCTTTAGGGGATTAGGAGTTTGGGGATTGATTCAGGGATTGCGGAGGGGGGGGGTAATTCGGCCTTCGATAACCTCACTCATATGACGAAACGCAACGCGTTGTTTCATGACGGTCTTCTGAGAGGCCGTGGTATCACTCGAGCCGGCCCATTCACACTTAGAAGTCCGGTTATGTATTCATTTCGTCCATTAGACTACTTTTATCTCTTTCATTATAATTTACACTTCATGCTATAAGTCTGATGCAGTTTGTTAGATATATGCAGTTACCAAGTGGCTGTCAAGTCATATAAGATTTGCATCTGACAATCTCTTTATTTACTATATCGAAAACTTACCTTATCATTAGAGATATTTATATGACATCTGAATTTAACAGATCATTTGTTTTTTTTTCCTGTTTTTAACCGACTTTAAAGAAAGAAGGAGGTTCTCAGTTTTACTTGTATGTATGTATGTTTGTTTGTATGTACGTTTGTGATCGATTGTCTCGCAATTGGCTGAACCGATTTCGATTTGGTTTTCAGAAAAGAGTTTGTTATACTTTTTTTTTTTTAAGTGGGGAAAATCGTCGAATGACTCCTCCCGCCTGGGGGAGGCGGCAGGGAGTGTCAGACTCTTACTGACTAAAAACCACCCCGTTCCTTCTCCTGCACGTCGAGCCGGAGCCCCGGTTACCCGTTAGGTTCTCCGCGACAGTTTGTTATACTTAGGAGAAGGTTTTAGTATATTAATTAACCGACTTCAACAAAGAAGGGGTTAAAGTCAGATTTTTTGAACATAGTTTGTAAAAAAATTATTACTGATAGGTTTTATGAAAGTATGTATTTATGATTGGCTTAAGACTGCGTAATACTTACAATATTCGTGAGTCTATTGTAAGTAATGTCAAAGCCCATGTAATAGGAGGTGACCCCTATTATATGGGGCTGAATCGATTTGGGTGTTTGGTGGGAAGGTAGATTAGTACCAGGAGACGAACATAGGATCTAGAACTTTTTAACCAATACTGTTTTTTTAATTTTACCGACAATCACGAACGGGAACGGGAAAGAACTCGAGTGGCCCGCGTGGAACATAACGCTAACGCCTATTCCCGCCTATACAGCAGAAACCTTCAATAACATTAACTATTACGCATAATCCCTTAATAAGCGTAAAATAATTTAGACAAAGAAAAACAAAAGAACATAAGCACAAAGAACATTAATTAAACTTACAGGCTAATACTTTACACAAAACTATTTTTGACTTTGACTTTGACTTAGTATAGCTCACATGCTTATGACCACTCGGTAGATAAATAAACATACAAAAATAGCCTATAAAACATTGTAATAAGTATCTCAGTCTCAGACGATAGAATAGGTTAAATTATTATCTAATCAGTTACTTGAAATGGCTAAGTGTTACACGCTTAAATGGATGGGTTTCGACCATTTTTTTACAATAACACACTTACATAACATCACGCCTTTTATCTCCAAAGGGGTGAGCAGAAGTGTACATTATGCCACTGTACAACGTAACACCCACTTTTCACTATTTATATTATGAGTCACATGTAATAGGGGGTGAGCCTATTGCCATATAACGGGCACAACTCCAGACTCCGTGCTACTACTGAGATTTTTTAAAAAACCTTATATTACTTTGCCCGACCCGGGAATCGAACCCGAGACCCTGACGAGGCCTCCGTTGTTTTACATCGATTTTCTGTGAGGCCGTGGTATCACTCCAGTCGAGCCGGAAACACTTATTTATAATACACGATTACACTACACTTTTGTAATACATTAATCACTTGATATATCGTACCGAGAATCCCCAAAATTTGTTCATACAAAAGTAGTCTTTAAACATCGGAAATAAGGTCTATAAAGAAGTTGAGAGCGGTCACCGGTGACCACTTGGGGATATATTGACACAATAGAATGACAATCCTTCGATTTAGCGGAACTCCAAAACACCTGACATTTATCTATGCCTATGATACATCGCATCTCAGATAGCTCAAGTGTTTTGCAAATGAGATAAAAAGATGTACAGAGGTTGGGACGACCATATGTCAGTATGAAAACAGCTTACTGCTTATACAGTTGGTATGAAGTCATTAGTTTTATGGTAAGTACGTGGCCAATACTTGGATTTTTGCACAACTATGACCAGAATCTCGCTTTCTGTTATTTGAGGTTCATAATGTGACAGCTAAAAAATTGGTGTTATATTAAATCTTCCAGTTTGTTGGCTGTAGCCTGCCACGGCTCGACTGTGAGGCAGCAGCGTCGGTTCCCTGATGACTTCCTCTTTGGAGCCGCTACAGCCGCCTACCAGATAGAGGGAGGATGGAATGCAGATGGTAAGTCTATAAATAGTTCCAATTTTAATGATACTGTCTATATCTTTCATCATAAACAATAATGGGGTATTTTATATGATTTCAGGAAAAGGTGAAAGCATTTGGGACAGGCTGGTCCATACCAACCCCACAGTCATACAAGACTTAACCAACGGTGACGTCGCTGCTGACTCCTACCACAACTATAAACGTGATGTCGAGATGATGAAAGAGTTAGGCCTGGACGCTTACAGGTTCTCCCTCTCTTGGTCTCGGATCCTTCCTACTGGCATGGCCAACGAGGTTAACCCAGCTGGCGTCGCCTACTACAACAACCTCATCGATGAAATGTTGAAATATAACATCACTCCGTTGGTTACTCTCTACCACTGGGATCTTCCCCAGAAACTGCAAGACTTGGGTGGATTTATGAATCCCTTGTTCACTGATTGGTTTGAGGACTACGCGAGGATTGTTTTCGAGAACTTTGGAGACAGGGTCAAGATGTTCATTACATTCAACGAGCCGAGAGAGATCTGCTTTGAAGGTCTTGAAGATATGAACAAAGCTCCTCTCCTGAATACCACCGGTATCGGTGTTTACTTGTGTGCTAAGCATTTGGTTTTGGCGCACGCAAGAGCCTACCATTTGTATAACACTGAGTTCAAGCCGATCCAGGGAGGACAGTGTGGTATTACAATCAGTGTGAACTGGTTTGAAGCAGATACTGATTCTGATGAAGATTTGGCAGCTGCTGAGCTTATGAGACAGGCACAGGTTAATCCATTTTATAGTTTGCCTAAAAACTAACGCAGATTGAGGCTGACGAAACTAGACTAACAAAGTGTTTGAATTCACACTAATGTATAGATTGTCTTCTTTTTTCTAGTGGGGCATCTACGCCGAACCTATATTCTCTTCTGAAGGGGGTTTCCCGAAGGAGTTTTCGCAAAGAATAGCCGAAAAAAGTGCACAACAAGGATTCTCTCGCTCTCGTCTGCCAGAATTTACTGAAGAGGAGAAGGCTTTGGTCAAGGGATCATCAGATTTCTTTGGCGTGAACCATTATACGACGGTGAAGGTGTCAGCGAGTAAACACAAAGCATTTTTCTCAGCGCCATCTTTGATGGACGATGTAGATGTTGGGACATATATGCCTGAAGAGTATGTTGCATCAGCTTCTCCTTGGTTAAAAGTAAGTGTCTTTAGGATTGAATTTGATATTTGAAGTATTTTGCACAAAAATGCCTAGCTCGGGATGTTCCACCTTATGTATGAAAAAATATACCACTTGCTTGGCAATCTTTATCACTATGCAAAATTGTCATATCACGAATTACAAAACGATGTATAAACTTTCATAGTTATGTATGCCGCCCGAAAACGAATAGAGTGCCATATACTTATCAATTTAAAAAAAAAACTTATTGTATACTCAACTTGTTCATTACTAATTTCCACTGTATCCACAGTTGGCTCCCAACAGCATCTACAACGCCTTAACCCACCTCAACGAGAAGTACAATAGCCCAACGTTCTACATCACAGAGAATGGATGGTCCACATACCCTGATAGCGGCCTGATTGATGATGACAGGATCACATACTTCAGAGCTGCTTGGGAGAGTGTGCTAAATACTCTGGATGCGGGAGTCAACCTCAAAGGGTACATGGTGTGGAGTCTTTTGGATAACATGGAATGGCTGGAGGGTTATATGTAAGTCCTTCGTCATATTTGAAGACTTCAAAATAGTACTAAGCTTTTATATGATCATCATCAGCGGAAATTGCCAACTGCTGATACAGGTTTGCCTTTTAAAAGAGGCGTTTGGCTTAAAAAACGTAGCGGCCCGGAGGTATAGACGCCCGCTTCTCATGCATGAGTGTACGCTGTACGGGTTTCAAAATCTAACAACGGCAAGTACCAAAGTGACTTATTCCAAGTTCTATGTACTTTCTAAGATTATTTAGACACCACAGACAAACGGTAAACATCGTGAGGAAAACTGAACTAATAATTTCTAATTATAAGTTTAAAATCGGCAACCCGCATTGACAAAGTGTAGTAATTAATGTGAGAAGAGGCATTGCTCAGCAGGGGATACTTATAGGCTGTTGACGCTAGCTACTATTTAAAATCCGTTTTTATTTTTCCACAGAGCATGTTTCGGCCTGTACCAAGTGGACTACCAAGACCCAGCTCGCACACGCACCGCTAGGAAGTCAGCGTTTGTCTACAAGCACCTCATCAAGAATCGATTTATCGATTACGAATATGAACCTGAGTCTTTGGCTATGATTATTGATGATGGATTTTAATAACAATTAAAATATTGAAACTTTATTTCAATAAATATCAGTTTGGTCTTTGTTTTTTTTAGTTTGTTTCTACATACCATCACATTAAAAGTTGAAAAGAATTAAAAGTCATTTATTTAGGGGATTGGGGAGGAGATTGGGGATTAAATGGGCCTCCGATAACCGTCGATTTTCTGTAAGGCCGATGTATCACTCCGGTCGAGCCGGCCCTTTCGTGCCGAATCGAGATTCAAGCCATGCTAGAGGCTCATATTTATGAATAGCATTCCAATTTCCGCGACACACGAATGGAAGGAAACATGATAATTAATTTCGTAATGTAATATAATACGTGTTATAACACAAATTACTATTTTAACAGTTCAAATTTGACTGTTGGCCTTAGACCGATACTACGATAGATAACACTATTGACATCATTATTAAAAGTATACTTTATCGTATGTATATATTATATTATTGGTCATAATTCTAAAACTGCGGAACGGATTTTGATAAATATTCTTTTGTTTTCTTGTAGTGACTTAGGTATAGTGTACGTATGTGTAATTTGTACATTTATTTATGATGTTTTGAGTAAGATTTTAAGTGATTGAAGTGTTGGTTTGTAGTGTGTGTTTTATGGCAAGATGTTAGTGATTTTTGTGTAAGTACTGTTACTTTGGGCGACTCGGAAGTTAAGAGGAAGTTAAGTTGTGGCCCCTAAATTCCAAGATACTACCCTTAACATCTTCAAAAGTATAGGTATCCTTGGTGTCGACATATCTAGTAACGTCCAGTTCCGTAGTCACTTAGAAGACAAGGCCAAGCTGGCATCTAAAAACTCGGTGTGCTAAACAGAGCGAACCAGTGCTTCACGCCGGGACAAAGACTGCTTTTATATAAATCGCAAGTTCGCCCCCATGAGCAGTAGCTCTCATCTCTGGGCAGGAGCGCCAGCATACCAGCTTGGGCATTTTGACGCGGTCCAAAGGAGAGCTGTAATACTTGTTGACGATCCTATACTTACGGGCGGTAACTTGGCACTTAAGGCACTTAAGTCTAAGGAGAGATTTTGCCTCCTTGTGTGTGTTCTACCGCTTGTATAATGGGTTGTATTCTGCGGAGTTGTTTGATATGATGCCCACGGCCACTTTCTATTATCGCACCGCTCGCCATCGACAGGGAGAGTTCACGCTCACACATTGGAGCCCAAATAGTCCCGTACAGTTCGGTTTCAGAGGAATTTTCTCCCACGGACCCTCCGATTGTGGAATGAACTCCCTGCCGTGGTTTTTCCAGTGGACCACAACATGGGGTTCTTCAAGAAGTGAATAGGTTCCTTAAGGTCTTCAAGACGCATGTGATGCGCCAAGTGTTGCAGGTGTACATAGGTCACGGTAACCGCTTACCATCAGGTGGGCCGTGTCCTTTTTTGCCACCGTCGTGGTATAAAAAAAGGAAAACCACATTGGAGTAACATATGAGTTTATTTATTAAAGTTAGAATCTCATATAGTTTTTTGGCCTTAAAAACTGGAGTAGGAATGGTGTGTCTCTCTTTGGAGAAGTTTTTTTTACAAAAAAAAAACGTTGCCCTCACTAGGACTTTCTCCTGTATCATGGGTGCGTTTACAAACCAAACATACAAGCTCACATATACATCACACCCAGACCCGAAACAACAATTTGTGGATCACACAAAGTGTTGTTCCGTGCGGGAATCGAACCCGCGACACGTTGCACGGCAGCCACTTGCCCAGCCACCGCACCAACCGTGCAGTCATTGAATGATTCTCACCCCTCGGGCACTCTAAATAAAAGCCTTAAACTTGCCAATATGCTTGGCAATTACACATTCACATCAGACTATTCCATGAACAAAAATATTTGTCAATTTTTCAGCTGTCCATTTCTATCTATCTTTACTATTATTACCTAAGTTTCCTCTCATTATATTTCTAGATGCTGTTTGCTGGTGGCAGCTTGCCATGGTTCCACTCTGACAAACAGAAGGTTCCCTGATGACTTCCTCTTCGGTGTCTCCACAGCTGCGTACCAGATCGAAGGAGGATGGAATGCAGATGGTGAGTTCTATAAATAATTAAAATTGTAAGTTTGGTTCCTTATAGGTAAAAGTGTATTACAAAAAAATATAGAAATACTAGCAAACCTAGATGGCTTCGTTTTATGTAACATTTCGTTTGGTGATTAGTGAATTTTCTTTGCTATAAGCCTCACGGAGCCCGAGACCTTTCCAACGAATGCAAAACCGTGGAAATCGGTTCGTGCGTTCTGTAGTTATAGCGTCAGGAAAGAAAACCCGACTTATTTTTTTTATATAGTAGATTTACTTTGTCTAGAACAATAGGTTGGTGTCACAGAAAACCTACGAACTATCGAAATAATCGACGTGACCGCAGATGGATACAATATGTCTAAAGAGTTTTTGAATGAAGTAAATTTATGAGTTTATATTACCTTTACCATTGAACAGGAAGGAAAAAATATATAAATAACATCATACGGTCTGACTTGAAACTGTGTCAATACGAAAATACCTACTTTCTTATAATAACTACCGTGTGACGTACTAAATTAACTAAAAATCGCGGGTTACTCTCGTGAATATACTGGGAAGGTCTACTAGTTTCGAGCCACAGAGGGGATCTTCCTCATGAACGACGTGCGCAGTCGATGCTGCCTCTTATCGAATGCGAAATATTATGAACTTTATGTGTAAATATATGAATTTTCCAAAAAAATAATTATATATTAATATTTTTCCAGGCAAAGGTGAAAGCATCTGGGATTACTTAACACGTACGAAGCCTACCCTAGTCAGAGACGTTTCTAACGGTAACATTGCTGCTGACTCCTACCACAACTACAAGCGTGATGTCGAGATGATGAGGGAGTTAGGCCTGGATGCTTACAGGTTCTCCCTGTCCTGGCCTCGAATCCTCCCCACAGGCATGACCAATGAGGTCAACCCAGCTGGAATCGCCTACTACAACAACCTTATCGATGAGATGATGAAGTATAATATCACTCCAATCGTCGGCCTCTACCATTGGGATCTCCCTCAAAAACTTCAAGAGCTAGGAGGCTTCACTAATCCCCTAATAGTCACTTGGTTTGAGGACTACGCGAGGGTTGTCTTCAAGAGTTTTGGAGACAGGGTCAAGATGTTCATCACTTTCAATGAGCCAAGAGAAATCTGTCTTGAAGGCTATGGATCGGCTTCTAAAGCACCCATCGTAAATTCCACGGCAGTTGGAACTTATTTGTGTGCAAAGAATCTGCTGATGGCCCACGCTGCAGCTTATCATATTTATGACAAGGAGTTTAGGTCAAATCAAAATGGACTATGTGGTATTTCGATCGGGGCTCATGATTATGTTCCAGCTACTAATTCTTCTGAAGATGTTTTCGCTGTTGAGATAGCAAGGCAAGGAGAGGTAAGAAGTATAATGAAGGCACACACGATTAACTTTTAATCGGTTCTGAAGTCGTCTTTTCTATCATATGATACCAATGACAAATGACTTATCATTAACTATACAACAGTCGTGGTAGCCCTAAGGTTTAAGACGCCCACTTCTTGCATGATGGTGCGAAACCTACCAACGGCAATTACCAATGTGACTTTTTTAGTGTTATATGTACTTTCTAAGATTATCTAGACACCACTGACAAACGGTGAAGGAAAATATCGTGAGGAAATTTGGGCTTTTAATTTCTAATTATAAGTTTGTAATCGCCAACCCGCATTGAGCAAGCGTGGTGATTATTGCTCAAACCTTCTCCGTGTGAGAAGAGGCTTTGCTCAGCGGTGGGCATTTATAGGCTGTTGTTGATGATAATGATGAACTATTACAGTATACAGCAGAGCAGTACAAATACGCATGTGCGTATCTAGTTACTATTCGTTTAAATATTTACGGCCTGCAGCCCGCATCACCGCTTTCATTTTGGTTTGTCACTAGTCTAAAATATATTTTTTCTCCTCAGTGGGCTATGTACGCTGATCCAATATTCTCATCTGAAGGAGGATTTCCAAAGGAGTTAGCTGATAAAATTGCTATCAAAAGCGCTCAGCAGGGTTACCCTCGCTCCCGTCTACCAGCATTCACTGATGAAGAAAAGGCTTTTGTTAGAGGAACTTCAGATTTCTTTGGATTAAACCATTATACTGGTTACCTGGTATCAGCTACTACGCATGCGTGGATAGGCCCTAAGCCATCTTTAGCAGACGATATGGATATTGGAATGTATAAAAATGGATCTTGGCCTAAATCTGCTGCGTATTGGCTTGCGGTAAGTTGTACTTACTGTTACCTTATTGCTTATTTCTTAGGACAATGAAGTCTGACGCGTTGCAGGGAGATAAAGAGCAAAGAGACTGTCCTGAAGCTCGTAACTAAATGAAAGATATCATTAAAGGAAAAGAAAAGCAATAGTTTACACTTCTCTCGTTTTTTAAAACAAAATGACTAGATAAAATAATACGTGTTCATAAACAAAGATCTAAATATACAAATCATAGTCAGTATAATTGGGTAGGTACTGTTTTTAATCAAAAATAAATTATTTCGACTGTTATATTAAAAATAATAAATCTTTCATTAAATGATTTTATGACCAACTTCATTTTAGTATTTTTCCACCAATTTTTAAAGAAATAAGTACACAATACACAATCTCGTACAAAATTCATAGAAAACTGTTCGTTTCGTGTTAACTTCGAAAAAACTATCGAATTTGACTAGTTGACAAAAACCCTTTAGTAGGCTACCTTTTCAAAATAACTATTGTGAGACATGCTGCAAAAATTGCGAGTGACGCTGTAACGAGTAGGCTGCGCGACGTCGCCGCGACCGCACACGCTGCTCATGATGAAATTGTTACTATTGTATTTTCTAACCACCTGTATATGTACATTATGAACGCAATAAATACTTGATTATTTGATTAAAAGTCCCTCTCTGACTCGAAACTAGTAGAGCTTTTCTCAGTATATTTATGTGTGTCACACGAAATTATTAGTTAATTAGGCTACCTTTTCACCTTGGCAAAATAAAGGCTATATTTAACCGACTACAAAAAAAAGGAGGAGGTTCTCAATTCGACCGTATATATGCTTTTAACTGTAAATATCTTTTACAGATGGCACCAAACAGTATTTACAACGTCCTGGTCCATTTGAAAACGAGATACAACAATCCAGTTGTCTACGTCACGGAGAATGGATGGTGCACCAGCTGCCAAAGTGGGCTCAAAGACGATGACAGGATCAGGTATTACAGGGCTGCCTTGGAGAATGTCCTGGATGCCCTGGACGCTAGTGTTAATGTCAAAGGTTACATGGCGTGGAGTCTCATGGATAATTTCGAGTGGTTGCAGGGTTATACGTGAGTTATCTAACTAATATTTTTATTTATTGTTGCTAGTGCTTCTGTAAAAATTCATCTTTGATTAGCTTTAATCGAATGATAAGCATAATGAAACCTGGCAGCTGATTCGATTACCAGACGAAACAGTTCTGTGTAATGTTATCCGACCATTTGGATTGAATAGGTCCGAAAAATAACATAATATAACATCACGGCTTTTATACACGGTAGGCAGAGGTGCACATTACGGCACTTATTGCCGCTCTATAATGTAAGACCCACTTTTCACTATTTATGTTACGAGTCCCATGTAATAGGGGGTGAGCCTATTGTCATAATTATACCAGGCAAAATTCCACTGAGATTTTTAATCACCCAATAATGCTTTGCCCGATCCAGGAATCAAACCCAAGACCCCTCGCCCGGCAGTCGCACTTACGACCACTCGGCCAATGAGGCAGTCAGTGTCCAGAAAATACCAGTTAAAAATGTTTTATAAATAAGAAAAACTTATACGTGTTTTCTTTTCAGTGAATGCTACGGTTTATACCAAGTGAACTATTCGGATCCAATGCGCACGCGCACCCCCAGGAAGTCAGCGTTCGTATACAAACACATTATCAAACATCGCGCCGTGGACTATGAATACGAGCCAGAGAGCATGAACGTGACTATCGATGAGGGACACTGAATATTGATGGATGGAAAGTAAAGTCAGCTTCGTCGCAACTTTATGATTTTGGTTATTAAAAACTAATTATTATTGTTTAGTGAAAATAAATAAATTGAACCAATCCTCGATAGTTTCGGCCTTAAAGTATAATAATTTAAAACAAAAATATCACACATAATATCACATATAACAGACAGCACTAATTTCTAAAAGAATTTAAGAAAGACATGAACTGTTGTTGTAGTTCTCTGAACTATTAATTACTAGTGACATCTATCCGTAGCTCTGAGAAACAAAACGAAATACAGCGATAAACATAGATGAAATAACGATAAAAATAATGATTGAACAGAAAATTATTTTCAACTTCCAATTGTTTGTAGGTTTTGTGATGTTAGTACTATCAATGTGCAAGAGATGGCGTGCGTGTCGCTTTAAAGGCAAGAGGACTATATTTTTGCAAATTCATGATGATCTTTAGAAAAACAAGATAAAATATTATCTAACTCTCAATTCGTTAAACTTTGGAGTTGTTTACTATATAGTGAATGTGAACCAAGTGGAACTGAAAAGAACTAGATTATAGCTGTATTTATCTAGTAGGGGTAGGCAGAAGTGGTGATAAAACTGTTCTATAGAATTAAGAAAAATAGAACATAATATTATGATAACCTGATAGTTGTAAAAAAACTTAATTAAATATTAAATGATTTGTTGATGATCATAAGAAGACGTGATTGATCTCTCAACTCAACTTTGATGCCCGGTTGAACTTTTTAAATTGCATCCGATCTGGAAGTAAACGACCGCAATTCCGAATATAATTCCAGACAGGCTAACTTCCGAACAAAATTAGTAGTTAGTATAAACAAAACTAAAGAAATATTTGTGTATAGTGTGGGAGAGCCACGCTTCGGCACGAATGGGCCGGCTCGATCAGAGTGATACCACGGCCGAGCAGAAAACCGACGTGAAGCAACGCTTGCATTATCTTTCATCGTGTGAGTGAGGTTACCGGGGGCCCAATTACCCTCCCCTTCCCCAATCTCCCCAATTCCTGAATCCCCAACGATCCTCAAATTCCTAATCCCCAAAAAGCAAGTAACGCAATTGTAACGTCTCTGGTGTTCCAGGTGTCCATGGACGACGCCGATTGCTTACCATCAGGTGATCCGTCTGCTCGTTTACCGGCTCATGCCATAAAAAAGTGAAATGCCAGAAATAAACAAAAAAAAGTAAACTGTCTAAATGCTTGAAATAAATACACAGACGGAGTCTTCGCAATAGGGTGTCGACTACGGAACCTGAAAAAGGGCATCCAAAATGGAATGTTGAAAAACGTATGATTTATTTCATCAGGCGAATTTCATCACCTTCCACTCATTGCCTGAGTGCTACGATTACCACCTAATACGTCTAGGATTTAAGGTTTACTTCAACATTTCTTCTTTGTCTCCAAAGCAGACATTACTGTTTCACTTCACTCATTTTTGTTTAAAAGACAAACGATCATACGAATATTTTGGAGAAGCGGACGAATATGCGCATGAACCCCTTTGTCTTCATCAGGCGTCTGTGTATATATCAATTACTAATTCAAAATCATCCTCATAACCCTCACACAAGGGTAGAACGGAATTTGTACTTTTATAACCTTGGCACTTGTAGACGTAAATAAATAATTTCTCTCACTCTAGTCGTTCCCTCATGTCTGAGGATCGTGGTCAGCATTAGGATTGCATCTGGAGAGGATGTTCTGCTTCTTGTAGTTTCTGTCCAGCGTAAAAAAAACGAGTCTTTTATTTGAGCGATCCATCTCGTTGGACGCCCACGCAGTCTCTTGCCTTTTTTTTAAGGGGGGAAAATCATCGAATGGCTACTCCCGCCTGGGTGAGGCGGAAGGGAGTGTCAGACTCTTACTGACTAAAAACCACCCCGTTCCTTCTCCTGCACGTCGATCCGGAGCCCCGGTTACCCGTTAGGTTCTTCGGTGTTCCTAAGTACAATCAACTTCTCCAGGTTCTTGCCGCCGTGTGGCCAAAGTACGAAAGGATAGAAAGTAGGTAAAGGATAGGAAAGAAGAAATAGGTAAAGGATACGTTGCTGGCATATGGTTGACAATCGAATCTTTATCCGAAGTTGAGCCAGTATCGTTGCATTATTGAGATTAGCTGTCCAAGGTACTCTTCGCATTCGCCTCCAACACCACATTTCGAAAGCATAAACAAATTTCAAAAATAAGAAAATACAGCTAATTTACATAGCGAAATCTCATATCTAAAAGATATACTTTGCGTCGCTGAGCCATCGAAGTAGGTACCTAAATAAGTATTAGGTTTTAAAACCTATGCATTCGGGCTGCCAACAAGGAGATCATGAATTGAGATCATGGGACATGATATTGACTTTCAACATAATCTGGTTACTGCCAATCCTGATTTGATTATACGAGTACAATTAGGGAAAATGGTAAAGATAGATTTATATACGATTCTAAAAACAAGTTTCCTATAATCTTATCAAGGGACCTGCTACCTGCAACTATTACTGATAAACTTCGTTATATTCACCACAAACAGGTATATTAGTTTGGTTTGAGCACAGCGAATCTCAACTGTTTTAAATGCTGATCCCTTAGAATTGATGGGACTAAAAGTTTTGGAGATGATTTTTTGTCAAAAAAAGCTTTTGTGGATTTTTCTTATTCAAATTATTATTTGGCGGTGTTTGACCCCCATATTACTTTATCAGCCTTATAGGGCTATGGACGGCAGATTGTAATCGCTCCATGTAAAAAATAATAGGTAATATTAAGCCAATTCTGGTTATTACTTGACTTCCTGACCTTGACCTTACCTTACCATACTTCAATGGATAAAAGCTAGGAGAACGAAAGATAATCGATTTAAAAAGATTTTCAATTAAAAATCATAAGGAGCATGCTTTCAACAGTTGTTTACGCGAAAACAAAGTTTAAAATCCACTGACCACGTGCGAAAGTACCAACGAAGATAATATGAACGAGACGACATGTGAAGTGGTCCAGCATCCTCGAGATTTGAGATAAAGTACGTCAAGATATAAACATAGTATAATGTATATAAACTGTCCAACTATTATTAGAGCTACTCAGTCGGCTTTATCGCCAATATGAAGCTGCTAGTGGTCTTGAGGTACGTTAAATATTAAAATAGCTTTTCCTTCAATAATGTCATCGTGATTTAAATTGTTATTGAACTGTATTTGTATGTTTTTGTCACAGTTTGGTGGCGGCGGTCTGCCATGCCTCTGTCGTGAGGCAGCAGCGTCGGTTCCCTGATGATTTCCTCTTCGGAACCGCTACAGCCTCCTACCAGATTGAAGGTGCCTGGAATGAAGATGGTGAGTTACTGTCTGATAAAGTTACTGTCACTATTTGGTCTACTTTCTCGCAACTTAATTTATATTTAATTTTTAGGTAAGGGTGAAAACATCTGGGATTACATGGTCCACAACACCCCCGAAGTCATCAGGGGTTTAACCAATGGCGACGTCGCTGCTGACTCCTACCATAACTACAAGCGTGATGTCGAGATGATGAGGGAGTTAGGCCTGGATGCTTACAGGTTCTCCCTGTCCTGGTCTCGGATCCTCCCTACAGGCATGGCAAATGAGGTCAACCCTGCTGGCATCGCTTTCTACAATAACTACATTGATGAAATGCTGAAATATAACATCACTCCTTTGATCACGCTTTACCATTGGGATCTTCCTCAAAAGCTGCAGGAGTTGGGAGGTTTCGCCAATCCCCTCATCAGTGACTGGTTCGAAGATTACGCGAGGGTGGTATATGAGAACTTTGGTGACAGGGTCAAGATGTTCATCACTTTTAACGAGCCAAGAGAAATCTGCTTTGAGGGTTATGGAGCGGCCACCAAGGCTCCGATCCTAAACGCCACCGCGATGGGAGCTTACTTGTGTGCCAAGAACTTGGTCACTGCTCATGCTAAGGCCTACTATTTGTATGACAAGGAGTTCAGACCCGTACAGGGTGGCCAGTGTGGTATTACCATCAGTGTGAACTGGTTTGGACCAGCCACGCCGACTCCTGAGGATGAGATGGCTGCTGAACTTAGAAGGCAGGGCGAGGTGAGTCTGTTCCACTTTCTAAGCCATATATTTTCTTTAATAAGTTCTTAAAGTTAACACTTGGTATTTGTTACACAGTGGGGAATCTACGCTCATCCCATCTTCTCAGCTGAAGGAGGTTTCCCAAAGGAGCTCTCTGACAAAATTGCCGAGAAGAGCGCTCAGCAGGGTTACCCTTGGTCTCGTCTGCCAGTGTTCACTGAGGAAGAGAAGGCTTTTGTCAGAGGAACTTCAGATTTCTTCGGAGTGAACCATTACACCGCGTACCTGGTGTCAGCAACTGAACGCAAGGGTCCGTACCCTGTGCCATCTTTGCTGGATGATGTGGACACTGGCTCCTTCGCTGATGATGACTGGCTCAAATCTGCGTCTTCTTGGCTTACAGTAAGTAGTTTTGATTATATGGGACAGGTAAACTACGTCATTACTCTTAATATCATAAGAATGACTTGACAACAAGAATTAGAAATCAAACAAGTTTAAAAAGAAAGTCTTTGTAGTTGTATTAATTTTAATTCAATCTTTTATGTGCCCTTGATTCTTGGGTTTATGCCCTTGAGTATGGGTTGGCTTCCTAACATATCTGTAGCATTATCGTCTACTCTCAATAACTTCACACAATTATAACACTCTTATTTTATTTTATCGTCCATGATTTTACAGCTTGCACCAAACAGCATCCACACAGCGTTGACCCACCTGAACAACTTATACAACAAACCAATCTTCTACATCACCGAGAATGGCTGGTCTACTGACGAGAGCCGAGAGAATAGTCTCATTGATGACGACAGGATCCAGTACTACAGAGCTTCGATGGAGAGTCTCCTGAACTGCTTGGATGATGGGATCGACCTCAGGGGGTATATGGCTTGGAGTCTGATGGACAACTTTGAATGGATGGAGGGTTATATGTAAGTATTTCATCCATATAATGATGGACAACAGCGTGCTGTACATACCAGAACTAATTGCTATTCCACTAGTCAGATTTTGGCATTCCTTAAGTTATATATAGGCCTCAGTTTAGTGAACATCTTTCACAATGTTTTTATAATAACTATCGTGAGACATACTAAATTAAGTAAAAACGCGGGTTACTCACGTGAATATACTGAGAAAAGCTCTACTAGTTTCGCGCGTGCGCGACGTCGCCGCGACCGCGCACGCTGCTCATGAGGAAGAACCCCTCTGTGGTTCGAAACTAGTAGAGCTTTTCTCAGTATATTCACGTGAGTAACCCGCGTTTTTACTTAACATCTTTCACCTTTTGAGGCTTATTACATTTAAATGTATTACATTTTAGTCCCTTATCTTCCAATCAACGTTTTTGTTGAGAGTGGTAGGCATATGTATGTACTAGCTACTTCCGCGCGGTTTTACACGTTCTGGTCAGCTCCTATTGGTATATATAGACATCCTCGATAAATCCGCTATCCAACACTAAAAGAATTATTCAAATCAGACTTGTAGTTACGGAGATTAGCGCGTTAAAACAAACAAACAAAGAAACAAACTCTTCCGCTTTATAAGATTAGTAGTAAGAATAGTATAAGATTTGTAATATTATGATGTGTATTGTGTATATGACTATAAATCAACTTTTATCTTCTTTAGAATGACAGACAGGCATTTTTTTATTTCAATTGTAAATATCAACATTTTTATTGACATTTTCGTTCAACAGTGAGCGTTTTGGCCTGTACGAAGTGGATTTCTCAGACCCTGCGCGCACGCGCACCCCCAGGAAGGCAGCGTTCGTGTACAAGCACATCATCAAACATCGCGCCGTGGACTATGAATACGAGCCAGAGAGCATGGTCATGACTATCGATGAGGGACACTGATTTAACGTTGTTTATAAATGTAATATGGCTTACTGAGTCTGACTGACTGGTTTATTTATTTTTGACTGTTAATCGTAATATAATGAATTGAAAATATTATTTGATTGTTTTATTCTCTTTGTGTTTTTATGCACATCAGGAAACAAGCGCCCGTATCCCATGTGGTAGGAAGACAGAAACTCTAGAAGTATAGACCACCACCTATATACTTCATTTATATCCTTGAATACATAACTTAACTATTCCGTCAAAAATTGAATTGTCCGTCTGTCTGTCTGTCTGTCTGTGAAGCTAGGCGCTCGTCCCAAAGTGTAGTTTCGAATGGAAAAGAACGAGCAAGAAAATCTATATTTACTCTTTTAAAAAATGTTTTTTTACAGTCTCATTGATACATTATCTGATCCTTTACCTGATGTGTATATATATATATGTATATTTACATAATAGTTACGCATAATTATGAATTTATTTATATAGATTTATTCTGTGTCACATAAATAAACAGAAGTGTAAATAAATAAAAAAAATAATGATTCATACCGGTAAAGTAGGTACATTCTGTCACTACCTCAAGTCTTCCCCCCTTTATCGTACTTACGAGCTGACCAAGGGAATACTCATTTGACAGTGACAAGGGACCGGGTTGCAGCATTTTATATTTAACCTGAACGATTGAACCCTTTTAATCGTGATGTCCAATTCGCCTGCTCCACTGCCTCGTTGGCCGAGTAATCGCAAGTGCGACTGCCGGGCAAGGGGTCTCGGGTTCGATTCCCGGGTCGAGCAAAGTATTATTGGGTTTTAAAAAAATTTCAGTAGTAGCACGGAGCCTGGAATTATTTCATAAAAACCTAAAAATCCAAATAACTCAAAAGCTACTGAACTTCGGTAGAACATTTGGTGGCCTAATTTGCTGTGTTTTAACCCTACTATGACGTCCTGCAAGGAATACATCGAGTTACCAGTAACCCTGTACATATTCAATATACAAGGTGTAGTTTTGAAACCGTGGCATTTCTCGGGGGCATGTCACAGAAGTCATAAAGGTTCAATGTAAGAGAAAGTTTTGGGCCAATAGTTAAATATACGGCTATAATGAATCGTTCAAGTTCGACAGTATTTCAGAATCAGCGACAGCAATGTTTCTTATGAGAGTTTTATGGAATTAGGAATAATATCAATAACGTGTTTGAGTTTGTGTGAGTTAAGCCGCGTTATAAAACTAGTTACAAGACGGCAGCGTGTAGTTCGCACTTACGGATTTCCGTAATTTACAGAAAAATGAAAAATATTTACCCACAATTTTTTTTATTGATTCGGACTCAGAATCGATAGCAAAGTTACCTCCTAGAAAATGAAGCGGCTTTAAAACAACACTTGTATAATGCAATAATTATGTATCGAGTAAATTAAATAAACTATATACCTAGGTATCATGTACCTAGGGTTATATACCTAAATGTTTGCGGTTTCATTTAGAATCAAAATAGTAATCTATCAGGTATTGTGACAGGTATTCATAGGAGGTCCTATCCTGTCCTGTCAAAACAAACTCAATGACTAGATCATTGAAACATTTATCAATACACGTGCGAATTTACCGTCAAACTTGAATGACTCAATGACGTCAGTAGGCATATTAATATAAGACATACAACACATGAAATGATAATATTGTATCTATGTCACTGTCAAAGTTTGAGCTACAGTAAATCTTAAGTCTTTCTAGTAGAACTGAGTTTCAATAATTTTTAACTGTGTGAAATGTACTTAGATACATAGTTACTACTTTAATGAATTAATTTATAAGAAATAATATTTATTTTTTTTCCATAACTAAGTATTTATGTATATATTTTTTTTAATTTGCCATAAATGCTATTTGACAAACAATAATAAAATAATAATAAAAAATATAAGTCGACCAGTAGCGGGTGCATGGTCCAAACTACCGGTGGTTAGTGCTCCAGTGACAGAAACCTTCTCACGATACGTGCCTTTCTAGGAGAACTGCCTTCTGTATCATGCCCTGGATTCATCCACCTAACGCCAGCCTCCTAAGATGGATGTCGAGGCTTTTAGCGATTATTTAAGTATTATTATTGGGATTAGAGTTTGCAATGTAAAAGGAACAGTTTTATTATAGAGCTGTGCTCGCCAGTCTTTGTCCTTTATTCGGCTAGAAAATGTAGTGACGAAAATAATGTATACCACTTTATTATCACCATAGTTCTCGGTGGCTTAGCTTTTAGTAAGACCCAAGATATGCTGATTTTTAGATTTCACAGCAACTTGAATAGTTTGTACAATCAACTTATAATGGAAATATTTTGTTTTTCGTAAACATGTCAACATTAGTTTATCTTTGGCATCTCTGAAGAATGCTGTCTACAATTTTACCGAGATTTTCTAATGGTTCCGTATGTGTGTATGTAAATCATTTATTTTAAGTCACGTTGACTAACTGAAAAAGGATATAATAATCGTTCTGCGTGTTCTAGTAGACAGTCAGTTGCTCCATGTATTGCACCGGGTAAATATTTACGAAACTAAAAACCTTAATAGCACTATGTCCAGCCCAGGAATTTAACCAAAGACATCTTTGTGAGTGAATCCTAAGATTCGGTGTTCGTAGTTACGACCGATGAACATCATTGTTAATGTCTTCTTTTACATGACAACATAAGAAGAAAGTATTTTCTATATAAACAGTGAATTAAAGTAACCTCAGCATCACTTCATTCTTCTTCGATTTATTAAATATTTATTCCCAAATGGGTAGGCAGAGGTGCACATTACAGCACTTAATGCCACTCTACAATGCAACACCCACTTATCACTATTTATGTTATAAGTCCCATGTAATAGGGGGTGAGCCTTGCATATACTGTGACTGGTCACAGTAGTAGCACGGAGTCTGGACTCCGTGCTACAACTGAGACTAAAAAAAAACCCGGTACTTTGCCCGACTAGGGAATCGTATTCGCGCCCACCCGGCTCTTCTCTTCTTGATCTGCACTCTTCTATTTATCATATTTGTTTAATCCATTTTCAACCTAAATAAAGTCGAGAATCAATTCAAGTTGACATCCTGAAGTACCAATAAGCTGGCAAAAAGACAAAGATTGCAAGTATCACGCTGACACTCCATGATAGGTGGGTAGTAGATACGGTGCATCATCCTATGCACTGCACGATATACGATAAATGCAATAACAATTTTACGTAACGAGTCATGGATTCCATTCAGGCACTGAACATAATTGCATGATTGTGTAATAGTCTGATAGGCAATTATGCTTTCTCTTTGAGGTTGAAACTTTAGGACCGTGGGGCCCAAGTGCACATCTTCTTTACAAAGATATTGTAAACGTGTTGAGGTGATCGAAGGGCTGGCTACTACCTTGCGCAAAGGTTAAGCATTGCCATCGAACGTGGCAATGCTGCCAGTCTTTTTGGCACCTTAACTCACGATAGCGATGAGGAATAAAATTTTTTTTTGATGCTGTAAGATAACATTTTTTTAAGGAGTAAATATTTTAGTTTTTAGTTATTTATATTTTAAGTGGTATACATTTATTTAATTTAAATTCTTATCAATAAACTTGCAATTGCATGATTTAACTTACACTTAAATGCTCAGAATTGAGAATACCATTCTCAATTCTGAGCATTTAAGTGACGAGAGCCGACCGAGAAAATAGAAAATTATGACATGTCAGTAAGTTTTCCATACATTCAGTTTTTTTATTCTCTTGTCATATAAATACTTTATCCGTATATTTGCTTTGTAGGTCTGGTTAAAGAGTTTATATTCAGTTTGCCTATATTTGTAATTATTAAGGGGTGAACCTATTGTTGTCCCACCCATGTAAGGTATAATTTCAGTTTTTTTTTATGGAGTGAGCCGGTAAACGAGCTGACAGATCGCCTGATGGTAAGCAATCGGCGTCGCCCATGACACCCAAAACACCGAAAATGTTACAAGTGCATTTTGGGGATTAGGAATTGAAGATTTGTTGGGGATTCAGGGATTGAGGATAAAGGGCATAGAGGGGTAAATAGGCCTCCGGTAACCTCACTCACACGACGCAATACAATACAAGTGTTGCTTCACGTCGGTTTTCTGTGAGGCCATGGTATCACTCCGGTCGAGCCGGCCCATTCGTGGCGAAGCATGACTCTCCCACACTTAAAACTATAATAACTAATCATACGAAAGCAGTCTTCATTTTACTCAGTACAACTGTACCGATTTATACCAACCCGTTAAGGAAAATGAAGCTAGTTTACCATAATATTATGCAAGTACTTATACACGTACTAGATAATCTAAGACATAATATTATCTTATATGACAAGTCCACGTGCGGACTAGCGGGCTACAAATACTTCTGATAGCTCAAGTGGACCGTTCCCTTCAGATAAATAATCTCATTTGAATTATATAAAATGTAAATGTATTGATAAACTTGTTTAGTGATAGAAGCTGGCGATATGAAGCTGCTGGTGGTTTTAAGGTAAACTGTAGTGACTGTGTTAATAATATTTATTTAAGTATTTCTTTTTTTTTAAACGTTATCCTAATCTACGATTTTCTTACAAGTTGTGAGTGTTGAGTCTATTTCCAAAACCTTACTAGACCCTGAATAAGAACGTATGATAATGTTTCTCTGCACTCCTCAAGGACAGAGTACAGAATTTTAGTTATCTTGTGTATGATCTGTTGCTTAAAAACCTGTTAAACCACATGGAATTATCAAATTTTTTATCATCAATGCAATATTTATAAACCCACATTAGTGTTGAATGCATAATAATGTGCATACAGGGATAGTCGCCGGTATGTGTGTACATTTATATTAAAGTTGTCTAAAGGGCCTCTGCGCAGTTGGCTTCGGCCCCTCGTACGCCTCCCAAATGACTGGGACCCTGTGGTCCCTTGAATGGTAAAGGCACACATAATAATGCGTACAGTAATAATATATGTATAATAATAATACGCTTGCATATATTATTATGTTACAGTTTGGTGATAGTAGCCATACAGGGCGCTAATGTGAGACATCAGCGTCAGTTCCCTGATGACTTTCTCTTCGGGGCCGCTACAGCCGCCTACCAGATCGAAGGAGCCTGGAATGAAGATGGTAACCTCTACTTAAAATACAGACAAGGTAGACAAACATTCCCAAGAACTTTTTGTACAATGTATTTCTTTTTTCAGGGAAAGGAGAAAACATCTGGGATCACATGATCCACACTAACCCAAATGTTATCAGAGATGTGACCAATGGCGACGTTGCTGCTGACTCCTACCATAACTACAAGCGTGATGTCGAGATGATGAGGGAGTTAGGCCTGGATGCTTACAGATTCTCTCTCTCCTGGCCTCGGATCCTCCCTACAGGCATGGCCAATGAGGTCAACCCAGCTGGCATCGCTTTCTACAACAATTATATCGATGAGATGTTGAAGTATAACATCACTCCAATGGTGACTCTCTACCACTGGGACCTTCCTCAAAAACTGCAAGATTTAGGAGGTTTTGCCAATCCCCTCATCAGCGACTGGTTTGAAGATTACGCGAGGGTTGTCTTCGAGAACTTTGGAGACAGAGTCAAGATGTTCATCACTTTCAATGAGCCCAGAGAGATCTGCTACCAGGGTTATGGAGGTGATCTTAAGGCTCCCATCTTGAATTCCACTGCTATGGGAACCTATTTGTGTGGCAAGCATCTTTTAATAGCCCATGCTAAGGCCTACCACATGTATAATAAGGAATTCAAGCCAACTCAAGGTGGACAGTGCGGTATTACCATCAGTGTAAACTGGTTTGGTCCAGCCACGGACTCTGCTGAAGACCAAATGGCTGCAGAGATCAAGAGACAAGGCGAGGTACTTCAATTTTTATCATGTTATCAATTGTAGATTTGCCGTATATCCCATTATTTTTTAGGATATCAGAGAATAATGCAAGCTAAAAAATCAAGAATAAAATTTAAATGGAATTTAGTTTAACAGAAATGTTAAATAGTAGGTTAAATTAATCCTATTTCTTCATTTTTCAGTGGGGTATCTACGCCCATCCAATCTTCTCATCTGAGGGAGGATTTCCAAAGGAGTTCTCAGAGAGAGTGGCAGAAAAGAGTGCTCAGCAAGGATACAGGCGCTCCCGCTTACCGGAGTTTACAGAAGAAGAGAAGACACTGGTGAAGGGAGCATCGGACTTCTTTGGAGTGAACCATTATACTGCAAGACTGGTGTCTGCTACATTGTATAAGGAGGCAGTTCCAGTACCTTCTCTCTTAGATGACATGGATGTCGGTCATAATGCACCTGATGACTGGGCTACATCGGCGTCTTCTTGGCTTGTCGTAAGTACTATTTAATTGGTCTTCTACTGAACCTTTATCTTATTCGTTGTTTTGCAAGTCGTTTCGATGTCGGGAGTCAACAGAGAACAGAGTTTTATCGGACTATGAGTTATGATCAGTTGTTAAAATATTGTACCATATTTTTCCAGAGACATTCACAAGTAAGGCCATATTTTGAAAAGGTGACTCTATCATACATACTACGCTTTTGTCGATTAAAAAAAATTAACATAACAACATAACATCACGCCTTTTATCCCCGAAGCGGTAGGCTGTGATGCACATTACGGCATTTAATGCCACTGTACAACGTAACACCTACTTTTCACTATTTATGTTATGAGTCCCATGTAATAGGATGTGAGCCTATAACCAGACACCATTTCAGACTTCTTGCTTAAAAAAAACCAGTAATACTTTGCCCGACCCGTGAATCGAACCCGCGACCCTTTGCCCGGCAGTCACTTTTACGACCACTCGGAAAACGAAGCAGTCAAAAAATTTAAATAGCCAATAAAAACCATCTGATTAACCATATCTCCATTTTCAGTTGGCTCCAAACAGCATCTTCAACGCTTTAAAGCATTTAAAAGAGAGATACAACAACCCGAATTTCTACGTGACTGAGAATGGCTGGTCTACTTACTATGAGACTGGTCTAATGGATGATGGCAGGGTCACCTACTACAGAGCGTCGATGGAGAGCCTCCTGAACTGCTTGGACGATGGCATCAACCTCAAGGGGTACATGGCTTGGAGTCTGATGGACAACTTTGAATGGATGCAGGGTTATGTGTAGGTATTTTTAATTTATATATTTTTCCGTCTGGTAGATTATTTTTTATTTTCTTATTACAGTAGACATGTATTTTTTATTATCTTACAGAAACGAATACTTTAGACGATATATTGATTTGAAATGTCGCACGACGTCACTTCTATGTACATTTTGTACGTAGAAATTACGTTTTAGCCCCCACTCCTAAACTTCGATTCGTTTTATCTAAGTATTGTTTTATTATAAAACAACATAAAAAAATACATGTCTAACATTTTTTCATTACCTAACTTACGGACTAATTATATTTTTAATTTTCATACCCTGTCATCATCCCAATAACCTCCACGCTTGCCAAATGGGTTATTTAAAATGATCAGGTTTATCAGAAATCATTGATGCTTTGTTTCTGTCTTGGAAAAATCCTATACTGTGATAAAAAATGATTCTTGCCTTATAATTAAAATGTAACCATTCTATCCCACAGTGAGCGTTTCGGCCTATACCAAGTGGATTTCTCAGACCCTGCGCGCACGCGCACCCCCAGGAAATCAGCGTTCGTGTACAAGCACATTATCAAACATCGCGCCGTGGACTATGAATACGAACCAGAGAGCCTGGTCATGACTATCGATGAGGGACATTGAAGATTATAAACTTAATGATGAGATCAAATATTGTTTTATATTAAAACTGAATTGAAATCATTTCGTTATGTTTTGTTTCAATTTAGACTAAGTGACCCAATACAAATCTTATAATGTTTTGTCTTTTTTATTATTCTTTTTCTCATGTAGCATTGGCAGATGAGACCGAACCAAAATGTACAGAGGACTAAGGAAATTAATAAGAGAATTACCAGAATATGAATCCTAAAAGTCGTTTTACAATATTAAGAAATTAATCAGATTGGTCATCAATCACACACTGAAAAACTTTATTAAAACAAGTAAAAATCGTCAAACACGAACACGTACGACACGAATTTACAAAGATGTAGAAAATCAATGAAATTGGGCAGTCTCTTTCGCTCACTGGAACGCACCGACCACCGCCCGTAATTGTTTCACTGGGCGCGAGCACTATTTCGCGTGGTACGGATGTGCGCGAAATTCATATAGTTAACAATTATCTCTAATTGCACGCGTGCCACTGGTAAAGGCCCGGCAGGCCGCAGGTTGAGTATAGCTGGATAGATGCAACAATTCTCAAGTTTTGCTCATAACATTATTTTGCACTTTTGCTTCAATTTTGGTGACGCAAAATCGTAATCGTCACTAAAGTTTCTTTTAAAAAGTGAAGGTCCGTAAAACATTTAATCAATTTCAATGAATTTTGAAGTTAAAACTTGGAAGTTATAAAACTGTTTTGTTTCAGTTGAACAAAAATTAGCACAACGCCATCTGTGTTTTGTCTCAATTAATTAAAATCTGTGATTTCAAGTTATGAACCTTCTGGAATGTTTATGAATAATTTAGATAGGTGGCGTTATAAAACATTATAGATAATTATTTATTGAGCTAAGAACATCATGCCAATACTTCATAAAGAGATAAGTAGTTGCTTGTTAATGCCAGTAAAATCAGATGCCCAATAGGTAGGATAGCGCAAATCGAATGAACTTTAAGAATACTGCTTTCAATAGAAACACTCTCTTCAAGACAACAAATCACTGAAATCAGAACACCAAAGACGGTAATCAACATAAATTAGATAAAATGATAACCCGACCAATTTCCATAGAACACACGATGTCGCTACCATCTTTGTAACTTTGCTCTACAGCGACTCAATTTTGTTCGGACGCCAATTAGTTCCAGTTTTATCCGCTTCATTCTAAATTTGTCAGCGCTGCCGTAAGTAATTGCCGCAAATTATCTAATCATTGATAATATAAATGTGTGAACTAAAGTAATTCAGTATACCAAAGAGGATGCACGTTCTAGCTCTGTTGTTATTGAAGTAAGATATTTTTAAATGAAATTGAGTTTTAAAAGTGGGTCGTGTTGGTTTAAACTTGATTGTCGTTTGTGCTTAAATGTGGGAGTTTTTTATGAAAATGTGTTCTACAATCTTGTGTTATAGTTTAAATTTGCTTGTTTTTTCTGGGATTGCGGTGATTTGTGATTTTTTATTCCTTAAGGAGAAGTGTTAATTGTGATGATATTGTGAAACAAACATAGTCTTAAAGTTTCTTAGTGTTGTTTTTTTCAATTGTAATAATTTAGAGAATATTAATGATCTCTTTTTTTTACGAATTTGAAGAGCTATATTTAGCAGTAGTTTTCTGGCTTATATGATGATGATATGTTTACTTACCATTTTAACAAAAACCACTCATTAAATTGTAGTAACCTTATACCTTCAAAGATTAATTTATGAGCAGTAACGTTAAAGAATGATCATCTTGCAGTCTCCTGGTTGGTTCCGACGGCTGGACGGATACCAGGAGGAGAACGTTCCCTCAGAACTTTCTCTTTGGAGCAGCATCTTCAGCGTATCAAGTGGAGGGGGCTTGGAACGAAGACGGTAAGGGTTACTTACATTTTGGTTCTAAAATCTAAAAATAGGTATATTCTGTATTCTGTATTAATTTATTGCCAAAAATATACTACAGAATAAAAGATGAGATTTCTTCGTCGTCCTTACATAGGTATGTGGATGGAATGATTTGTCGTTGACGGAATTTCTGAACCTTCAAACCTTTAAGAAAAAAGCATATTCCTTTTTAAAAGGCCGGCAACGCACCTGTGTTTTCTCTGGCATTGTGGGTGTCCATGGGCGGCGCTGATCGCTTACCATTAGGTGATCCGTCTGCTCGTTTGCCTCCTATTCCATAAAAAAGAAAATATATAAAATAATTATACTATAGGTACAGTCAGCATCAATAGTCGATGACCACATTCAAATTTTCAAAATCACTGTACATTATATCACCCATAAATCGCTTAACAAGAGAGGGTGCCATTATTGAATGAACATCTTTAAAGTTCAAAATTAACTGAACACTACTCGTCAAAGGTCACTGAACACCATTTTGTCAAAAATTGCTGATCGTTATAATATCCGAAAACATCATATCATTAATTTTTACAAAAGTCACTGAACAATATAAAATGCTTGTTTTGGTTATTTAGTGCAATCACAGCAACGTCCAAAAATAACTTAACATCATTAATAACAAAAGTTACTGAACATTACTTTGTTTCGGATTTGTAGCGTGTAAATTTATACTATCAAAAGTAGCTGAACTGCAAACTAAAAAACGTTGACGATGTTGCTGTATTAGGATTGAATAGTAACCATATTTGGCTATAAAAAATCACGCAGATTCTGTTTGAATTTATACTATCGCGTAATTAATTATTGTTTAAGTTCGATTGAATTGTAACCTTATTCGTAAAGCATTAAGACTCATTTTAAAAAATCAAGCAGATTCTGTTTAAATTCATACCGTCAACTTTGTTTGTGATTTTTATAGTTACGATTGAATTAGAACTTAACCTGTATACTTATAAGACTCATTTTCAAAATTACCACAAATTCTGTTTTAATTCAATTCTTTGGTAAACATAGTTGTGGGTATTTGAAAAATTGTTTACCCTTGAATGTAAATAGAATATTTCTACTTAATTATCACTTGGATCGGATGTTGCATTGTGGTTGCAATTACTTTTTATCTATAAATTTTTTATTAGTTATCAATTGCGTTTTAGTAACACATAAATATTATAATGCCATATTTTAATCTTCATATTACTGCACATGAACGTCACAGAATAGTGATATTGCGGGAAGAAGGACTTTCTGTTGCCGAAATAGCTAGAGAAATGGGAGTTGCTGTAAGTTATTTTATTTTATGTATTTTGAGATTATACAGGATGTAAATGAGTAGATGTTTTTAAGATACAACCAAATTGTTTTGTTCCAAATTTCATTCAAATGTATTCAGTAGTTTTATCGTGATGAATAACAAACATTAGCTTTGACATTTATAATATTATTAAGAAAGGATTAATACCAAGACTTATACACACGTATTCGTCACACGAATGTTTGTCCTAAGTGGGAATCTAACAGGGTAGAATCAAAATCGGACGCATAGTATAAGTCACTTCCGATCAATAACGTGTTAGGTTCTAATGCATATTTTTTTTTGTAGCGTAATACCGTGTACTTGTGGATAAGGCGATGGGATAATGAAGGAAACGTCGATGAAATCAAGAAGACCGGTAGACCAAGAAGAACTTCAAGAACACAGGACGTAAATATCATTCGTCAATTCAGAGAGACTCCGTTCATTCAAACCAGAAATGTAGCTATAGCTAACAATATTTCTTTAACCACCGTTCGTCGACGTCTCCACGAAGCTGGTATACATTGCCGAAAACCGGCCCGTAAGTTAAAATTGACTGCTCGACATAAGTTGCAAAGACTTCAGTTTGCAGAACGATATTTAAATTTTGATTTTTCCAATGTAATATTTGCTGATGAAAAGACCTTCAAATCTTCTCAACACGGTCGAATTACGTTATGGAGAATTAATAATACCCGTTATCAAGAGGAGCACTTAATAGAAAATAGATCCAGTGGAAGGATTTCTGTGGGTCTTTGGGGGTGGATGAGTAAAAGTGGACCAGGGGAACTGATAGAAATTGGTGGTCGGCTAAATGCCGAAGGCTACAAAGACATCTTGCAAGATGTTTTACTGCCCACAGCACAAATAGTGTTACCTGATATGGCCCCATTACATTTCATACACGACAACTGTTCAATCCACATGGCCCGAGTGTGCAGAGCTTGGTTCCGGGATAACGCTGATCACATTGTCGAAATTCCATTCCCACCAAAGAGCCCGACCTTAACCCCATCGAAAACTTATGGGGGCTTATGGTCCAGGCTTGGGATGAAAGCATTCCTCGAACAAGGGCAAATTTACTAAATCACGCCATAGAAATCTGGGAAGATTTTAGGGGACGAGATACTTGTACAAATATGGTTAACTCCATGCGAGAACGTCTCCAAAATGTCATCGATGCCAATGGGGGACACACTAGGTTTTAATTATAAGTAGTCCAAGTTTAACCATAATTGTAATTGATAAAAATCATACCTTGTTTTTGTTTATTAAACATTGATTTGATTATTAAAGTTTAAATTATTTTATTATGATTGTGTTGATTTGTTATTAAAACAAATAATAATTATCTGTATTGATTTATCGAATTATATTTTTGTTAATTAATTTTTGTTGATAATAAATAAGAGTGGTGATTTACATGTGTATGTGTCTACTTAATTTATATACCAAACACCTGCCGAAAAAAATACACACACATATTAAACCCAAAATCGTTTATCCCTGAACAAAATGAAATGGCATTTTGTTAAGGGACTTTAGAGATAAACGATGGTATGCTATTTTTGTCTAAAATTTGTTCAGAAACCTTAGAGACGAAGAATGTTTTGCTTTTTTTACTATAACTTTGTTTAGCGACTTTTGAAAAGTAATGGTCACCTACTTATGCCCTTTTATGATAATCATTCATTTCTGGCGCATGTCATGTTGAGCAATTTAGGTATAATACGTTGTACAGTGATTTTGAAAATTTAAATGTAGTCATCAACTTTTGATGCTGACTGTACTCAAAAACTTCACATTAATGAGTTATGATACACACTTACACACTTTTCGTATCAACATTATTGTAAAATAAAATAATATAAATAGGTACATATTTATTTAGATTACACATTACTCTTAAAGAACAATTTTGCAAATTTAAACGTTGACAATGAGTTTCAAAATTTTAATAGCACTGACGTATATGTATATGACTTCAGTAGTCCCACTTATATAGATACTCTAACAAATATAGCCTCGCATGTGTCTGTGAGACCATGAAATTGCAAAATAATCGCAAGTGATCATTATAATGAAGTTCATTTTTGTATGGCATTGCTATGTAAATATCACTCTTCTATTACTTTACTTAAATATGTATTTAACTTAAGCGATGTTAAGGGTATGAAAATAAAATAATTATATATGTGTACTCCTACTTTTTTTTTTTTTTTTTTCTCCTTTCTGCACTATGGCAATCTGTTCGAAAACAATAAGCCACTTATTTGGTTGGAGCTACATGTCCTGGTGATTTTAATGGTTTTCTTCGAGGGCCAATCAATTGCTGAACTATCCAGCAAACCCTCCTTTTGGCTCAGTTAACAAATCTTTGGGCGAGTCTGGGAATGTCTTGTCTTTTTAGTCGGTTATAATGTAGTCCACCCTCTCCACTTAAGGCCTGTGCGAGTTCGTTTGCATGGGTTGCTAATTTCTCCTGGTATTTTTGGCTAGCCTGGACTATTTCCTCACGAACAGTGTTTATGCCTAGGTCGAGATACATGTATTTGTTGCTAATACATTGCGGTATCCTGAATATTAATCTTAGCACTTTACTTTGGAATCTTTCCAGTATGTCGATGTTATTCCTGCTAGCTGTTCCCCATAGCTGTATTCCATAAGTCCAGATAGGTTTTAATATTGCTTTATATACCAAGATTTTGCTGGTGGTATTGAGTTGCGACCTTCGTCCGATTAACCAGTGTAGACTACGAAGTTTTGCATCTAATTGCTTTCTTTTAGCCCAGATGTGCTTCTGCCATGTGAGCCTTCTATCCAGGTTCATTCCCAGGTACTTTGCATTATCTGTTTGTGGTATTTCTTTGTCGTTTAGCTTAATCGGTGGGCAAGTGCCTCTCCTAAGAGTAAAGGTTACATGGGCAGATTTGGTCTCGTTTGCTTTGATCCTCCATTGCTTAAGCCACGATTCTACTTTATTAAGATGATTTTGCAGAGTGTGTGATGCAATTACTGGGTCATCATGAGTGGACAGTAATGCGGTGTCATCAGCATAAGTCGCTGTAATTGTTTGATCATCTTCTGGAATATCTGCAGTGAAGATGAGGTATAGGATAGGTCCCAATATGCTACCTTGGGGGACGCCCGATTTGATTTCGTAGAGCTCAGAGCTGTCATTATTGCATTTTACTTGGAAGCTTCTCTTATCTAGGAATGACTTTAGGATCTGAAGGAAACAGTGTGGCAGTGACTTTTTGATTTTAAAGATAAGGCCCTCATGCCATACCTTGTCGAAAGCTTGGCTGATATCTAAAAACACTGCAGAGCAGTATAGTTTATTTTCCAGACATCTACTAATAGTGTCGACGATACGGTGAACTTGTTCGATTGTCCCATGACATTCACGGAATCCGAATTGGTGCTGTGGTAATATGGTGTTTAAATGTACTTTCATTCTGTTAAGTAGTATCCGTTCAAACAGTTTTCCGATGACTGGGAGCAGGCTGATGGGTCTGTATGAGTTTGTTTGTTCCAGAGGTTTACCAGGTTTGGGAATCATTATTATTTGTGCAATCTTCCACTGTCCAGGAAAGTGTTCAAGTCTTAGGCAAGCATTGAATATGTGGACTAGTTTCATTACTGCCTTGTACGGGAAATTCTTTAAGAGTGTTGCATCTATGTAATCATACCCGGGCGCTTTCCTTTCCTTCAGCTTTTTTATTTCTTGGAAAATTTCCTTAGGACTAGTACTTTGTAGTGGTGAGCACATTTGATTTGGTGATTCTAAGTAGGTTATTACTTCTTCTGTATGTTCGCGACAGCTCTCTGAATGTGGATTAAAAACATTGCTCAAGTGTTCGGCAAATGTTGTTGCTTTTTCTTGGTCAGACCTAGCCCATCCTCCTTTATTATTGTTGACGGCAGGTATATGTGTTTTTGGGCGCTTCATGTTTTTGGTGACCTTCCACAGCGAGTAGTTTGTGTCAGCTGTCGGATCAAGGTTTGAAAGCATGTTTTGAATTTTGTCGTTCTCTTCGTTGTTTGTGAGTTTTTTAAGCTCATCAGAGAATTTATTAAATGCATTTTTATCACTCGGATATCCTGTATGTACTCCTACTAATATTATAAATGCGCAAAATTTGTGTGTGTTTTTGTTCTCGGAGGTTTAAGACGTCCGCTTCTCATACATGAGGGTTTGGGTTCGAAACCTACTAACAGCATGTAACAATGTAACTTTTTCCAAGTTATGTACTTTCTAAGATTATCTAGACACTACTGACAAACGGTCAAGAAAATCATGGTGAGGAAACCTGTTCTTATAATTTCTAATATTATAAGTTTGAAATCGCCAACCCGCATTGAGCAAGCATGGTGTTTAAACTGTCAAACACCTCGAGGACACCGGTGACCGCAACCTATTGTTCTTTAACTGTGTCTATAATGACGGTACTCAAAGGATTAATGCTCAAACCTTCTCCGTGTTAGAAGAGATTTTGCTCAGCAGTGGGCACTTATAGGCTGTTGATGACCATCCATTACTTGCTTGTTTGTTACTCTTTCACGCAAAAACTACTGATCAGATTTAGATGAAATTTGGAACAGAGGTAGATTATAGTCTACGGAATAATACATTGGAACACGAGCTAAGCTGCAGGCTAGTCAGAAGCTAGTCCTAGATAATAAACAAATTAAAGTTTTAGGAGTGGGATGTGCTACATCATTACTACCATTACTAACGACCCATTTACCATAAACTGGACACAAGACTTATGGGATCTGCTATATCATTACTACCAAGATATAACGACCCATTTGCTATATACTACTGTTACTGTTCGGTGTATACTGTTACTGAGAACCTACAACAAAGTAAGGCTTGCTTTATCTAAACTCGAGAATGAAAACCGAAACCTCGCTTGCCAACCTCTCAACCAATGAATCAGTTTTAATTGATCTAATTTAATCAAACTGCCTCGTTGGCCGAGTGGTCGTAAGTGCGACTGCCGGACAAGGGGTCTCGGGTTCGATTCCCGGGTCGGGCAAAGTATTACTGGGTTTTTAAATATTCTCAGTAGTAGCACGGAGTCTGGAATTGTGCCCGGTATATGGCAATAGGCTCACCCCCTATTACATGGGACTCATAACATAAATAGTGAAAAGTGGGTGTTACATTGTACAGTGGTATAATGTGCACCTCTGCCTACCCCTTCGGGGATAAAAAGGCGTGATGTTATGTTATGTAATTTAATCAAAATCGACATTTCGGTAATTACATAACACTAGTATTTAGTTTAAAAAGATAACAATTAATATTTTTATCTTTCCGCGATTAATTGATAACGTTTATCGTTCACGTAATATAAGTCGTGTATTCATCGTATTGGGGTCGACAGAAGTTATGAAGGTATTACGTGGCCGAATCATAGTTCTTATTTTTTTAAATTACATCTAATTTTCTTTCTATAGGTACTTAAGTTCATTAACCTCTATTTTATATGTAGTAATTATATTTTAGAGAATGAATTCCCATAGTCAACGTATTGGTTATCGTGATAGTAAAATATATGTGTATTTAACTAACTTTTAAATTATAAGGTTTAAGATCTGCTCTTTACTAAAAAACCAGGCAAGAGTACAACTAAAATTTTATATCTGACTAGCTACTTTCGCGCGGTTTCACGCGCTCTGCTCAGCTCCTATTGGTTGTAGCGTGATGTTTTATAGCTTATAGCCATCCTCGATAAATGCGCTATCCAACACAAAAAGAATTATTCAAATCAGACTTGTAGTTACGGAGATTAGCGCGTTCAAATAAACAAACAAAAAAACAAACTCTTCCGCTTTATATAATAGTATGTAAGTAAGTATAAGATATAAGATAATTCTAAGAAGTTTCAAACACGTTGCCAACCTTTCAGAAATTTGGTGACGGAATTGAACACAAGGCGAAACATAACGACTGTCTTGTTAACTTTTTTCACGCCAATTTTCTGTGAGGCGATGGTATCACCCCACCAAAGCCATCCCATTCGTGCCGAAGCATAGTAGTTAAACATAACTTACACAAGATCAAGACAGTTTAACGAAATATTTCTTCAATTTCCAGGCAAAGGTGAAAGCATATGGGACAGATTTTCCCATGAACACCCAGAGAAGATAGCTGATGGTAGAAATGGAGATGTGGCGAGTGACTCCTATCATCTGTGGAGAAGAGACGTGGAGATGTTACGAGAGCTGGGCGTGGACTTCTATCGGTTCTCCATATCGTGGCCCAGGGTTTTACCTACAGGTAATGTAACTATTTGACAAGGAACTCGACTCATGAATATGAGCCTCTAGAATGGCTTGAAAGTAGTCTAGTTCCTCAACAAACAGTTACGTGAGTAAGCCGAAAACATAATAATTAATTTAATATGTCTCACGAAAGGTGAAAGTGATATGCTACAAATATTAGTTTTAAGGAAGAAATATAATTTTATCTCCTTGCGTTTTAATAATATGTTTACAGCTATACAGGGTTTGCAAGTATATAGTATACTTGCATTCAGTAATTGTTAATTGTATTCAGTAAACAATTCAGTTAATTGTATTCAGTAAAGTTTTATTGTGACAGTGGAAGTAAATCTTATACTTTAATTTATTTAGTACGTCCCACGATTTTGACAATACACTTTTGTTATGTGATATCCGCATAGCAGGCTAGTTGAAAAATTCAGTTAGAAAGGTTCAGTTCATCAGGTTTATCAGAGAGCGTTGTTACCTGGTTCCTGTCACCTGTGTAATCCCTTAGTCCGCTGTTACGATGCCCGTATAAGGAGTAGGAGTGGTACCCGTGATTTCTACTCAGATCTCACCCTATGGCAATAACAAATTTTGTTTACAAGTGACGCAATACAAATCAACTTCATCTTTTAGTCCTGTCTATGATCTATCTAAACAAAACCGTCCAGTCACTCTCAACTATACGGGTCAGACAGATAAAGAGTATGAAACAAATAATGGTCGTTCAAGAATTGACAAAAACATAATAATAATGTTTGTATAGCATAAACATTTACACAATGAGCTATTTTTAGTAAATACTTCGACGTGACTGTTGGTTGACCTTAGTATTTTAATAATAAATAACTTATCTTATGCGATCTTATCTTTAAATTAGTTTTTAAATTTGCACACAAATTGTCTTTTTGGAGTCTTAATATTACAATTCTTATTGAAATAAATAATTAAAACTAAAATATTTACACCTTAAAAAACCGCTAAACCGGTTTTGTGGGAAAAGGTTATAAACTCAATGTGTACACTGTTGTGATTATAAATAAATAAATAAAATAATAATAATTAATCGACTAGCTAATGACTTTTTAAATGCCCTTGGGGAGGTCAAAAGTTTGTTACATCAGCATCATACTTATCTTATTAACGTATTACACACAGGGGCTAAAGCTAAAGTCGTATCTATGATATGGGCCCTGGGCAGTGGTCCCTTACACGAAAGTGAAATTTCCCAGTTATATCGTCCCCGACTCAATCCATCCATATTCTCTCCTCTACAAACACTAAGTACTCATCTTAATCACCAAGAAAATAAAATCTCTTGTTCATTCTTCACAGGATTTCCAAGCAGTATCAACGAGGCTGGCTTTAAATACTATGACAACTTAATAGACGAACTCCTCAAATATGACATCCAACCAATGGTCACCCTCTACCACTTCGACTTGACCCAAGAGTTAGAAGACTTGGGAGGTTGGACAAATCCACTATCAGTCTCTTGGTTTGAAGATTATGCGAAAATAGTCTTTAAAAGATATGCGGAGAAGGTGAAGTTTTGGATAACTATAAACCAACCGAATACTATTTGCATGGAAGGTTATGGCAGTGACCTCATGGCTCCAGGGGTGAATGTTAAAGACGTTGGGGCTTATGAGTGCGTGAAGAATGTTCTGTTAGCTCATGCGAAAGCTTACAGGCTTTATGAGAAGGAGTTCAAGAAGGAACACGAAGGTGAGATTGCTAAAAATCAAATGTCTGGTTAATGGTGATGTTATTTGGGAATTTATCATTTCGTTCGGATAAGATAAGATGTTAATTATTACGTTTTCGGCTTACTCACGTAACTGTTTGACGAGGAACTCGACTAGTTTCAAGTCATGCTAGAGGTTCATATTCATGAGCAGCATTCCGCGACACGAGACGCGCGACTGTCGAGCTGCTTGAAACTAGTCGAGTTCCTTGTCAAACAGAGCCGAAAACATGATAATTAATTCAGTATGTCTCACGAACGTTATGATGTAAAGAGAAGATGTGTTTGTTTTATGACTAGTATTTTTGCAATCGTTAAGACTGTTTCGGTCCTGTCAACTTGGATTAAGGAGAGAAGAGATCAACCAAGAATTATTATGAATTACATAAAACTAATTACTGTCTTAGAGCACATAGAAACATTATCAGACAGAATGTCGTCTGTTTATTTTTAAGTACACCATGTAAAATATATATAACGTTAGGTACACACGGCCCCACATCAATCTATACAAAACCAGTTTATCCTAGTGTCGCGTCGCATCATCTTTCCGCACATTTAACGTTCAGTTTATATTGGTTATGTAAAGCTCGATGTGTAGGCGTGTGTACATTTGACATTGCAGAAATCACCTGTTTAAATATTCAGCTAAATTATGTTCGGTTTGTTAGTAATATATTTACTGATATTTGAAGAACAAAGTTTTTGTATTGATGCATATATATCAATATATATTATGTCATATATGTCAATATATATCTCTCTCTATATTGTTATTGTACTATGCTTAAACAATAAAAGAATTGTGTTTTAAAATGATAATAATAGCATTTCATGAACTGCATCTGCGAAAGTGCTCAGGACTTACTTATTTTCAGACTGGTCAAACAACTAAGAGATTTTGATTGTTAAAAATAATGTATAATGTATCAGGTAACGTTGGCATTGGAGTGGCAGTCAACTGGTTCGAGTCCTTGGATCATAATAACACAGTCAATAAGGAAGCTGCTGACAGAGCAAGGGCGTTTGAGGTGAGTGATAGATATTTTAGGTCAGATAAAAAGTATTCTGATTTGACATAGAAAAATAACCATTTATAGAACTCACGAATGCATGCAATACAATACTGCCTCTGGTTAGGAATCTCTAAATTGATACCGCTGGAAAATAACAAATTGTCTTAATTTTAATTGCCAATAATGCAATGGGACTGACCAAAATGAAACAAGCTGATGACCGATGAATGGGCTTAAATAATTATTTATTAAATATTAGCCATAAATCAAATTTTAAAGTAAATCTTACACACTGAATAACAAACAAAACAATCTAGAATGGTTAGTAATAAAAAAATCATACCATAAATTTTCCAGTTCGGCATATACCTCCACCCAATATTTTCTAAGGAGGGTGACTTCCCTCCTATCATCAGAACGATAGTGGACAAGAAGAGCCAAGAGCAAGGGTTCAAGACCTCCAGACTACCAAAGCTGTCTTATGAAGAAATTAAGTTGCTTAGAGGTAATTAAACTCTAAAATATATTTTAAACCTTTCACCACCCCAAAATATAATGCGTTTGTGTGAACCAAACATATTTTCACTTATACACTTAGACTCAAAACAACGACGTGTTTTCAAATGGACGAAGGCCTCTTTAGAATACGTCACTGAGTTTTAACCTTTACATCAAATCTCTACTAGTTAGATTTGTCGCAGAAAACCTAACGGGTTACCGGGGCTCCGGCTCGAAGTGCAGGAAAAGGAACGGGGTGGTTTTTAGTCAGAAAGAGTCTGACACTACCTCCCGCCTCACCCAGGCGTGAGAAGACATTCGATGATTATCCCCGTTTAAAAAAACTACTCAGATTTCCTACTTTTCTAGGTTCAGCAGATTATCTAGGCATGAACCACTACACCACATTCCTGGTGCAACATAGCGAGGAGAAGTTCGAAAGCCCTTCAGTGGAAGATGATCGCAACACTATATACACACAGGGTCCTGAATGGACTTCTGGTAAATCATCCTGGCTGAAGGTAAATAATTATATACATTTTTAACACTATCAACTTGATTACAATAGATCCATGCAATCAACCGTTGGATTATAAGCCTGATCTATATATAAGAGGGCTTGTCACAATCTACCCACTCGGCAGACGAGTTGGAATTTGGACATCGCAGTTTAAAACTTTCAGGTTCATCAAATACTATTGCTACCTAGTTTAATAAAATATATAGTCCCTTATTTGGCTCTTGTAACACCCATCGAAAGAGTAGGAGCAAGAAAGAACATAATGTAGTTATGACAATATCAATATCAACAGCCTATAAATGCCCACTGCTAAGCAAAGCCTCTTCTCAACGGAGAAGGTTTGAACATTAATCACCACGCTTGCTCAATGCGAGTTGGCGATTACAATTACAAACTTATAATTAGAAATTATAAGGCCAGGTTTCCTCACGATGTTTTCCTTCACCGTTTGTCAGTGGTGTCTGAATAATCTTAGAAAGTATATATAACTCGGAAAAAGTCACATTGGTACTTGCCGTTGGTAAGTTTCGAACCTGCATCCTCATGCATGAGAAGCGGGCGTCTTAAACCTCCAGGCCACCACGACATTTTTATGACAATATCAATAACGACAAAATAATTTGAACATCTTCTTTTTCCAGAGCGCACCCTACGGCCTCTACAAAGCTTGTGTTCACCTCAACCTGAACTACGACTACCCACCAATTATCATCACGGAACATGGTTGGTCTACCGACAAGGGTCTTGGAGACCAGTCTAGGGTGAACAATATAAGGGCCTATTTAGGAGCCCTACTTCTGGCCATGGAAGATGGGACACAAGTCAAAGGGTATACGGTGTGGAGTCTTCTGGACAATGTCGAGTGGACCGCTGGTACCAGGTAGGTGGATAGTTGAAGAGGTTTTTGTGGTGGAGCTTTTAATATGAGAATTGTGGTTGGTTGTAGATAATTTATATCTATGCCTCGTTGGCCGAATGGCCGCAAGTGCGACTTCCGGGCAAGGGGTCTCTGGTTCGATTCCCGGGTCGGGCAAAGTATTATTGGGTTTTTAAAAAAAAATCTTAGTAGTAGCACGAAGTCTGGAACTGTGCCCGGTATATGGCAATAGGCTCACCCCCTATTACATGGGACTCATAACATAAATAGTGAAAAGTGGAAGTTATATTGTACAGTGGCATTAAGGCCTGATGTTATCTATTAAAGCCTAGCAATTTTTCTGGATTTCATGAACATACGTCACTCAAACAATAAAACCTGTTTCAGTGAACGTTTTGGCCTCTACGAAGTGGATTTCGAATCAGAAACTAAAGAGAGAACAGCTCGTCTCTCAGCTCTAGTCTACAAGCATATCATAGAGTCAAGAGTCGTGGAAGATGGATGGAGCCCAAGCAGTTTGAAGATAGAAATAACTAAGAAGAAAGATGAAAAGAATAATAATTACAAAGGAGAATTATGATCCCCTCCCCTGCTTTTAACACAAGTCACTTGAGTCACGCAATGTTTTCTTTTTCAATTTTCTATTATCAGAAGATGACTGAAAACTATTATTGTGAATGGAAATTCGTGATATAACTAACGTATTAATTTTAACATAAATTATCTGCGTTATCTTAAATCTTGACCTAACGCTCAGGGCAATGATAATTGTGAACCATGAACTAATAAAATCAATGTTTACTTTATTAATCCATGGTCACATTTCTCATTAATTAATTTCTATGTGCTACTTACAATAATTATTGATAAATAGGTATTCTGTAAACTGTACTTAAGTATTTTTATGCAAAAAATAATAATGTTTTTTTAAATATATTTATAATAGGTAATGTTGGAATATTATTATTTCTTTAACATAAATTTATTTTTTATTTTTTCCATCAAACGACATCAATCAAACATTATTGGAACTATTATGACTTAGGTCCCTTTTCACCAAGCTCTGTAAAAACTCAGTTACACGTAACCTAAGTTTAAAGTAACCTAAGTTCTGTGTTCTGTGTTTTCTGTACTGAGTTCCGTGTAAACTAGTTTCTGTTTGTAGCGGTGAAATGTAAACTGAAGCTGTAACTTCGTTTAAACGCTTTAAATTCGATTAGACGCTTTAAATCAGTTTTGTTAGGTGTAATCGTGATCAGTTTCGTTGGTGAAAAGGGACCTAAGAGTTGTAACAACCAACTAGTTAGTGCTCAACAAATAAGACAGATGTCGCTGAACTATATTTACCAGTTGTATGATTTGAAAATCAGAGGGCGCCAGTCGCTTCTTTTTAAACAAATGATATTAATGCCCTATTTTTCTTTTTTGAAATGAAAATAAAAGGTTTTTCTCTTTGGCAGTTAGTTTATTTGTGATACATTGATGTTTTTTTCAAATTATGACATAGTTTTAAATATTGACGAAATGTTTTATACTATTTACCTTTACCCAAGTTTATCAAATATTCCGAGCCTTATACAAACTTAATTTTAATGAACTTAACAAACAAATTATTTGTCAAAATTCAACAAGTTTTTACCTATAACACAAAAGGGTCTATTACATGCCATAACAATCATAATGACCAGATTTCGGTACACTACAATACACTTACGAACCGAAATAGGTAGCCATTGCAAATCACTAGTTTTTGGGGTTAGAAAAACTAAACAACAAATCAATTTGAACTATCTCCCTTAGCCACTAAAGTCCACTTTTAAATACAACGGTCGTCGGACAAATTCCCGCCACCCGCGGCGATTGTTTATGGCGCATTTTTTTTTTAATTCTTTGTTGCATTTTTTTATTTTATTGTTTGTAAAAACTAAATAGCGTATGTAATTCGCGTCCAAATTGGATCGAGGGCTTGTCGTTAATCTTTTGTTTGTATTGTTCAAATATTTAGGTTTTTTCATATATATTATCAAGTATTTTTATATTTTATTTCTTTTAAACGCGATCGGTTGTGAAATAAATAGACAGTGATGGAAAAATGAAAGTGATGCCGCTTCTAGGCTTTTTGTATTCTATTGATGTTTTTTATTCTATGACGTGTAGTTCTGTCATAGATGCTTGTAATTTGGTGTGACCTATTTTCATTTATTTTAAAACAAAACGTATCTATTAATTTTTTCTATATCTATATAGTAGGTAGTTTAGTAATTTAGTAGCTTTGCCTGGAATGTTTTCCGGGAGTTTTGAAAATTAAAATTTTGTAGATTTTGATGTAGGCACCTAATTGAGGTGTGATAATATTTTTTTGCGAAAAGACTCATAAAAGTGTCCTTTGCGGTGCTCTGGCGCCAAAACTACTTATATTACGTGCTATATGGACATGAACTGTAGAAAATTGTGAGTAGTTTAATTTTGTACTTAACGGTTTGCTCGTAAAATGCACAGGAAAAGAGATATTGTAAAAAAACTGTTTTTTGCCGCCACTTTTCCAAGATGGCGGCGGGAGCGGCGCACGTATACAAAAGTACAATACAGAAATCAGAAAGAGCACATCACAATCTACAATATTGCCGATTTTCATAACTACCGGAAAAAAATCCAGGCAACTCCCAAGACCCTCATATTTCGTCCTTACCTAATAATCGAACTATAGGTAATCTTAGTACCATTTATATTTAATTTTGCATTGTCAAAATATTAAAAACCTCTGTCTAGTGTATTTAAAAAAAAGTACATGTGTTCTTAATTTAAATAACCAACAAATTAATCGCTATAAACACTTACCTAACCTTATTACAGAAGATCAACTCAGTAACTTAGCTCCAAAACTCATAATAATTCCTCACAGCATATAATATATGTACCTATATCTCATAAATAATAAAATGGAGATACCTACCTATAGATACCTACGTATGTATGTGTGGATGTTGATGGGGGAGGGGGAGAACTTTTATTATATTTGTAGGATTGCGTCAAAAATGTACGGGATGATGCGACGTCGTGCGTAACATACATATTTATATGATAATGGAACGTGGTAAGTGAGGAAAGGGATTTTGTTTATTCTACTGGCTTTCCTATTAGATATTAAATTCCAAAATTACCCCTATGACATGGTTTTCTTATTATTAAGTAAAGTTAAAAAGATATCTTAAAAGAGTGAACGTTTTAGAAATTCTTATTATAGAGTGCCTTTTAAATTATTACGTATCATCGCAACTTTACGGCAGCCGTAGGAGTAGGTATTTAAAGTTATTAACATAACAAATCTACATAACATATATAACATCACGCCTTTTATCCCCGAAGGGGCAGGCAGAGGTGCACATTATGCTACTGTACAATGTAACACCCACTTTTCACTATTTATGTTATGAGTCCCATGTAATAGGGGGTGAGCCTATTGCCATATACCGGGCACAATTCCAGACTCCGTGCTACTACTGAGAATTTTTTTAAAACCCAGTAATACTTTGCCCGACCCGGGAATCAAACCCGAGACCCCTTGCCCGGCAGTTGCACTTGCGACCACTCGGCCAACGAGGCAGTCATGACAAATGTACTTATTACCAAATGAGCTCCATCCATATTAATAAGTCAACAAGTGTTAATAAGTAAGTACTCAGTAACTGAAAAAAGAAAGAATGAAAAAAACTTTATTTCCCACTCTAAAACAGATGACACATACAGATTATAAATATCTACTAATGTCCCACGTCTGCGGTGAAATGGGACCAGTTCAGCATGTGCAAGACAGGGCCTCGCGCTGGTATTCTACTGGACCCTTGACTGACTCTGATCCTCAGTAACTGAATCATACATATTTAATTACACTTTTTTATGGGATAAGCCGGTAAAGGAGCAAACGGATCACCTGATGGTAAGCAATCGGCGCCGCCCATGGACACCTGGAATTGGGGATACTGGGGAGGGGAGATAATTGGGCCTCCGGTAACCTCACTCACACGACGAAACACAACGCAAGCTTCACGTTGTTTCACGTCGGTCACGACTCCGGTCGAGCCGACCCATTCGTGCCGAAGCATGGCTCTCCCACACTTATCTACTTATTGATGCCAATAAGGAATTTTATCATTTTTAATAAAAAAAAAGCGTACGCCACTCATGACAACCGGGTACCCGCCACGTATGATACAATGATATACCCGCGCCTCGCCCTGATCCTCTAAACTTCGCAACAAATCCGGTAAGTAGCACTCTTTATTATATTACTATACATAATGCTGACTGTCCTTTTGTGTGTCAATTTATTATACATACATACTTGTATACACTGACTGAATTAGTTAAGAAGGAACCAATAAGAAGTGAATGTAACGGCGATCGTACTGTATATACAGATGAACTTAACATACTTTGTTCTCATATTGTTTTACAAACCCACCCCAGTCCGCGGCACGCCACTAGTTTCGAAGCATCAGACAAATCCAATTCAGTAATAACACCAATATTGCTGATACCCTACGAATATGTACGCTTTGATCATATGCCTTTCTCTTTTTAATTTCGTTTTCGTTCCTTTATACCTCGTACGGTAAATTGATTGAAAGATTTATATATTATTATGTACTATAGCCCCTTGTATAGCATAATATGACTTTGACTGCACGGTTGGCGCAGTGGTTGGGCAACTGGCTGCCGCACAACGTGTCGCGGATTCGACTCAAGCACGGAACAATTCTTTGTCTGATCCACAGATTGTTGATTCGGATCTGAGTGTCATGTGTATGTGAACTTGTATGTTTGTAAACGCACCCACGACACGGGAGAAAATCCTAGTGTAGGGCAACGTTTAAAAAAAATACTAATAATAGGTAAGTATATCAATCCTTCGAAAATATTGATTTTGAAAGTTTGGGGACAGTAAAAGAATGTTCGTTACTGTATCACGAAGTAACTATACAGGATGGAATTTTGTAATGCCACTTGAAGGGGAAATACTCTTAATATTTAAGATAGAAATTACTCTTAATTTTTAACTACTCAACTAAAACGTTCCTTTTTAGAAAGATTTCATCCTTATTGACTCTAAAAATCCATGCAATAAATGCCTCGTTGGCCGAGTGGTCGCAAGTGCGACTGCCAGGCAAGGGGTATCGGGTTCGATTCCCCTGTCGGGCAAAGTATTACAGAGTTTTAAAAAAAATCTCAGTAGTAGCACGGAGTCTGGAATTGTACCCAGTATATAGCAATAGGCTCACCCCATAGGACTTTTAACATAAATAGTGAAAAGTGGATGTTATATTTTACAGTGGCATAATGTGCAAGGCGTGATGTTATGTTATATTACCTACAATACAACACCCATGTTTTTAGCAGTCCAGTATGAAAAAAACGTGTACGATGTACATATTGCCAAATACCGAACACAACACTCACCTTAGCTCCGTCCTGCTATTGAAAAATTCTCATATTTACCTAACAAACTTAGTACTACCCATGAATCGAACGTAAAATTTACTCCACTACAGCCACTCAATCAACGACACAGACCAATAAACC